CGTTTTGGACCGAATTCGACAAAAATTGATTTCCTGGCTTTATTAGGCATCAAAACGCATCAAACCCTAATAGAAATTTGTTTCTAAATGCCTCAGGAACCATACTACGTTGTCAAAGTGCCGAAATATTCATTTTTTTATTTTCCTTATATGCGTGGTCGGACCCTCACTTTTTGGTTGTTCACCCGCCTTCGCTCACTCGCTCAATTAAGACGAAAGATTACGCACTATGTACGTCATTTTAGAACTAAAAGTAAATCAGCCCAACTATTTAAATACCTGAAGAATTCATTCATTTGTTATGCATATGGCAATCAATAATGTTATAATCCAAAATAAAATGCACCCAGTTGTTTTAAATATTTTTACTGGAATCCATCTTTCCATATTTTGAAGCATCACTGAGAAACGTGATTTCCCTGTAACAACTTCTAACTTGGGTATGTATCCCGAATAATAAGCGTATATGCAATAGTAGAAGTGCAGAATAGCGAAGGAAGTATATATGCGCACATATGCGCATGTGCAAATGGAACTTATTAAATCACTAAATTATGTCTTCTTATTATAAAGACCGCTCCGGGTAACAGGAAAGTAGAATACCAAAGGAATTAATTGATGGAGTGCGTATGCGCAAAGATTTACGCGGGAAGACACGCAGTTACACATTTCGATTATGTGATCTTATTACTGAACTCGTATGGAATAGCAGGAGAACAGAACGACAGAACAGGTTGTAGAATGTAATAGAAGATACAAAAGGAATTCAATTGAAATAAAACTAAACGTTTTATTCTTTCTACCTTTGTGAGTTACTATTTTAACCTTATTTGTTATTATGCATTTATTTTTAAAGAGGTAAGTACATACTACATTTTAAGGTAAAATATGTAGGATATGCTACTGGAAATAATAAATTAGAGTACTGAAGTAACAAGTATTAATTATAAATATTTTATCAAGGAAAAAATGGGTACGGTCAATGAACGAAGCAACGCGGGTTCGTAACAACCATTATAGTTACAATCTCCTGACAGTTCAAGTTTTAGTTAGCATTTGTTACTATGGATACATGGCGAAGCATGGCCGCTCGATTAACAGTTTGCGAGTAAGCGTTGCGGAGAAAGGTGAAGAAGTAAGTGGAATGCTATTGTATCAACTAATTTCTTTAGTGAGTAAAATTAAATTTATTTATTTTTTACCAGTGTCTTTCTGTAAATATACGAACCGGTATCTTGTTAATTCACAACGCCTGCAGCTATTTTACAAGGTTTAAAAACCCTGTGTTAACTTGCTGTAGTTTTATTGTATTGTTCAATTTTTTTTTAAGAACATAATTTTAATTAAATTTATGTTACAGGCACGTGACGTTTGTTACATAAATTTTTACTAATTGATAATTTTGGTGATATGATTATTATCAATTGTAATAAGATTTTTCTGCATAATGTATTTTAATTTAATTTTAGTGCTAGAAGTAATGGTGAAGAGTCACATAACTTATTGTCTTCGCTTCATTAAAATTTGTGTATTTCCAATTGCTGAAACGAACAAGCAACTACAATAAATTATGAAGGATGAGTTGTTTCTTTAATTGAACAGTGACCAGGTTACAAGTTTAACAATTTATTAAAAAATTTGTACTTCAAGGAATTAGTATAAATATGTTCTCAGTGTATGTACAGGTTTTCTTGGTTCAAGAAAATCTATATTCTCGCATGACTGAAGATCGGTCGCATGCGAGCCGAAGAAAATGCTAATCTTGACCAGGTGCTCGATTACGGCCCTCTTGCTTGTAGGACAAAGTCATTTGTTAACCCTGCCACACTAAAACTGGGTTATCGGAAACTGGACGACATTGAGGACGTATTATTTGATATTGTACAATGTCAAACGACGAGAAGAGAATCGCGATCTTTCAGAGACTCGTTATATGGCGTTTTGTTTCTTTAGATACTTATCGAATTTCTTTGTTATTTATTCTTATGTAACTAACTAAAGGTACACGTGTCTTTAGCAAAATCCGTTCATGCACCTACGTAGAAATATCAATATTATTGTTTGGAAGTATAACTAAAATTCAGCTATCGACGTGCATGTCTGAATGACTGAGTACGTAAGTGCTCGTAAGTAAGCGCTTCATATTTCATGAACGGTATGTCAACGTTTCCTAGCGATACCGTTTATAACAAAATCGAAAACTTCAGCAAACGCGAAAAAGCTTAAACATACCGTTTGACGTATATATTTGTGTTTAACAATCAAAAATTTCCTGCCAAACTATTTAACTTTTGGCCGGACGTAAGTTTGGTTAATTTTGAATAATAAACAAGAGACGTAAAATCAATTCTTCGCGAAGAAAGTCAATACTACATTATTTAGAATAGATTAGCGAATAGGTGAAGATTAATACTGCCTCGTTTTCTTTTTGATTTTTTAATTTCTTTCTTATTTTTAGTCCTTACTCATTACGACCAGCGAAACTATCAACGAAAATCAATAGTGGGCAAGCCGTAGATCGAGTATAGAAAAGGTCGTCGTGTATTTCGTCGACGACACGCGAACAGTCTAATATTACCTGATGAAAACAACCAAACTCATATAGCGTTTCATGAGTTACGGTCGAATAACTTTTCCTAGGATGTGTGGTAGGTCATTCCTAATCGAAAAAGTCACCAGGGCCGACATGCTCCTTATTGATTTAGTTCAAGAAAAAGATTGTACACGCAGTGACCACAACGGCGATAGTTTTATATTTTATTGACCTTTGTTTAATCAATAATTGTAACTCTGATAGATTTAATTTTCCACGTCTATTCAAGGCTCACAAGAACGGTGATCCAGACATAACAATTATTGAAATAAATTTATATTTATGAAAAGAAAATTACCTCGGTTAACTCCTGAAACAGTATAAACTTAGATTATTCTATGTATGCATTGCCATAATTAAGATTTCATTCAGGATGTTAGTTATTGAATATACGTAGGCATTGAAGAAATAGAAATACAGAATATCAAACATCTTGTCTGCGCTATAGGTTAAGCAAATTCGATTAGCAATTGTTTACTGTGTGATTCGACATATATGATTTATAAGATACGATTGCGAATAACTTTGCATTAATAATTTTAATTATGTTAAATCACGTTATTTCGATATTCGAAATTTCATATGGAACAGCTTAATAACTTTAACAGTTTGTAATATCTTTGCATAGGAAGTTATTGTAACAGCATCTTTTGTATAAATTAACAAAATATATTATTTTTCAGAATTATTATGACGCGACAAAGGTATATGATAAATCAGCTAGAAAGCTGAAGATACCTGAAATCTAGGAAAGTCAAGCATCGATGAAAATGAATAGATACATAACTTTGAATCAGCTGGGCGATGGAACTTTCGGTTCCGTCGTTCTTGGAGAACGCATCGACACCGGTGAGAAAGTTGCTATAAAAAGAATGAAGAGAAAATACTACTCCTGGGAGGAAGCGATGAATTTGCGCGAAGTTAAAGTAAGACAGATTACCATCTAGGTGAAACGAATGTCATAATTCTTCGGTAATCGCGATGCTTTTCATTACAGTCCTTGAAGAAACTCAGTCACGCGAACGTTGTGAAACTAAAGGAAGTAATACGCGAGAATGACGTATTATACTTTGTCTTTGAATACATGAAAGAAAATCTTTACCAGTTGATGAAGGATAGGTATAATCATTAAAATTGTTAAACACATAGTATCATCAATCACGAGTGGACATAGATTCATGAATTTTTTGTTTTATACCAGGGACAAACTGTTCCCTGAATCAGTGATCAGAAATATAGTATACCAGGTACTGCAAGGTCTGGCGTTCATGCATAAACATGGTTTCTTCCATCGCGACATGAAACCTGAAAATTTATTATGCATGGGACCAGAATTGGTGAAGATTGCTGATTTTGGATTAGCCAGAGAAATACGGTCAAGACCTCCTTATACGGACTATGTATCTACGAGATGGTAATTATCTCTGAAATGTTTAGTTTATTTCTTCTTCTTTACTTCTAGAATTTATTCTGTTTATCGTTCATTCTAAGCACATTGTAATTCATTCCAGGTACAGAGCACCAGAAGTGCTGCTCCATTCCACAACTTATAACAGTCCAATCGACATTTGGGCAGTTGGTTGCATCATGGCAGAATTGTACACGTTTCGACCACTGTTCCCTGGGAAAAGCGAGATCGACGAGATCTTCAAAATATGTTCCGTAATCGGCACCCCAGAGAAAGATGACTGGCCAGAGGGGTATCAATTAGCTGCTGCCATGAATTTCAAGTTTCCAAACTTTACTCGCACGTCGTTGAGCGTTTTAATACCAAATGCCAGCCAAGAAGCGGTGATACTCATGGAAGACATGTTGCGATGGAACCCTATAAAAAGACCGACAGCTCAACAATCTTTGAGGTAGGTGAAATTAACTGTTATAAATATCGAAAACATATATTAAAACTTTTCTGTGCAGGTATCCATATTTTCAAGTAAACGTTCAACGTCCGATTAACAGCAAGAAGATTGGAGTTACCTCTCAGCGAGATCTTGTTCTAAACAAAGTGAATCTTCCACCTCCCATGCCCAAGCAGTACTACTCGCAGCAAGATATTCTTAACACGTTGGAATCCAGGTATTATCTTACGACCGTATCATGTGTTCTTAATTCAGTTCATAATGTTCACTATAATATATTTCAACATCCGTTGTAGAGCGCAAGAGAAAATGATGCAACCGGCGCAAGAGCAACCGATGCTGCCCTTACTGAATCATAACAATTACGTGCGCGAAACCAATCCTACAAAAATGGACGAAGACGATTTTGCCGAGCTCTTAGGGTTGGTTGCACGAATTTACTAATGAAACCTGGTTAAGTGGATTCCCTCCGCCCACGACTTTATAATCTAATCCTTGATTATCCACGTCAGAAGCAAGATCGTTCCCGAGAACGCAATCCTTGCCCCAGAACGAGTGTATAAAGAGAACCGTGCCAACTGGAACGACAATTATTTGCCAGACAATCCGAAACAGAGCAATGGAAACTGGGTGTTGCCTCACTGGAACGAACCGGCCACGATAAGTTGGAATCAATCGCAGTCAAGCTTGAAAAATGGCCGAAAAGTGTCGGGAAAACAACATTACTTCAGCGTGGCTCGGTACGTCACAGGGCAGAGCACAAGTTTGTCGTCCAGGTATCGAACGTTTCGAGATGTTCTAAAGAGAATCCTGATCCCCTGTTCACTGCTAATACTGGGATACACGCTGGTGTGCTGTTTAATCTGGAAAAATGAACTTCATAAGCATCCTCGTTATTGTTTATTTCTGCTAAAGAAGTTTGCCATGAAAGAACTTTCATTACAAACTTTTAACTAATCTAAAATTGTCATGTGATTTTTTAGTGAAGAAAATTTAATTGATTATTAGAACGTGAATCAGGTTCTTCACAGTTTTTTCTATTGTACTCCTCATTTTTATTGTAAATCTGTGGTGTTCAATAAAATCATTCGAGTTTTTTTAGACCTCATTATTAATTGTTTTTTTTTTCGTTGTGTTCTGCTAATAATTTAGTTTTTCTTTCTCTTTAAAAGAAACGGCGACGTCGAATCAAATCGACCGAGGCTGATGCGGAATTTGGTTGGACAACCGATGGAAAAGTATGAAGAATTCACAGACTCCTTCTGGGTACCTAGGAATTCTGTAGAAAATCAAGGAAAGCAATATTATCTACCGCGAAATCGTTACATTACGGATCAGACTTTGAGGTTGCCTTATCCCAGCGTTTATGGTACACAAACGATAAGTGAGTATTCAATGTCGATTTATATTGAAAGTTATTTAGAGTATTAATATTCCAAAGTAAGCCTTCATAAGTAGAGAGTTACAAATACTATGTACAGATAATATAGATAGTTGGTATAATGAGCATAGACAGATGATTAAAAACTCTGATCAAGAATTGATTAATTTGATAGAAACTACAAACAAAGGAACATTTCAACCAAATGTCTACGGGAATGTACTGAACACAAAGGGAAGTGGAAGTATTCATGGAAGAACTGATTGGGCTGCTAAATATCTGAAATAACTACTTAAAAACTATTACACATATACCCAAGTTAGCATATACAATTTATTGAACTGTGATAAAATGACGTTCGTCGTTTCATTGCATTGCGAGGAAGACCGAAGTGAATGATACAATGATTCGAATAATATAAAAGCACCAACTTACAAAAAATTGATTCTTTTAAGAATGTAATCACTTCACTGATTATTTTTTAAATTGCATACGAATGATCACATTCTTAAAATAATTCCATTAAGATCTTGTGGTTAATGTTAATGTAATGATAAGTAGGGAAAAACAATTTATATATTTTACCTTTATTATTAGTACTATTGGATTAATTATTGAGTCATGCTATTTTGATAATACTTACATACATATAAAGTTCAGTATATTGATCTTTTTTTTGTTGTATTTTAATAATTTACTAAACAAAACTGTTGTAAAAAACAGTAATGATTAATGATACTGGTTAAAAATGTAATATTTGATTCCTAAAGAGCATAATACTTGGATAAGATATATTAAAGAATATAATATAATATATATACATATTTATTATTTGTACATGTTGATTCATTGCAATATGGAGTAACTTCAGACATATATAGAAGATTAATGTAAAAATTAATCAAGCACATCTTTCTTTGTATAATTAATAGTATTTTTTTTATTAAATATAGTTCAAAATATGCTCAGAAAATTACTCCATATCGCACTCGACACAGTATGTAAGGACAGAATATTATAATGAAAAGTAATATACAAAACAAAATGATTCTTCGTATTTTCTACACACAATCTTTAAGAAGCATTCTGATACTGTACATTCATAATCATATATTTCATTCATTTCATAAACTATGGCGGATTGAACTTTCATTTAAATACTTTTAATAATACTTTTGCCATTGCAATAAGTTTAATCCTTGAAATATTCTTTTTTTAAACATAATGTTAGCGTATATATATTTTGGAACTGATGTGTTTACAGTATACGTTAAACATAATAAAAAATTTACTACTATCACATAACGAACAATGACTAGTTTCTCTATCACACAGTCACAAACTTGGATTCGTTTTGTAAAAATATTTTGCAAAGGAACATTCCATAAAAAAAGTTCGTTCGAAAATTATCTTCGTTCACAAGAATTTGTACACGTCATATCCCTGTTCCTAGACTTTTACTTCTTTAAATTTGCTCAAAAATTTAAAAACCTTTTAATGATGATATGTTAAAAGTAAGATACCTAATAGTTTACCTCCCTCCGTTTCACGAGACCAACCCCATTCCATGCTGTTTTTATATGGGTATCGATATTTGTGCATCTTAGAAATATTGTATAAAACAAATTACCGCACAAGATAAAGTGTGATATTAATCGATGATGGGATCAAAGAGTGATATGACATTAATTTACGTTATTTTGGAGTTATACATTTGTATAGTCAAGAAATCTATGCAGTTATCGTGTATGTTTTATCTAAATGATTTCTAGGTATACTTTAAATATACGAAGTACATCTGTAAGCTGTTTGGATGGGTGGTACATTGGTGAATATTACACATATACATTTATCCATTAAAATACAGTGCAGTCTTCCTACATGGCTCCTTTTCACACAACTTGTTAAGTCAGTTCCTCTTCACTCGAACTTTACACTTTCTAGTATTTTCAAATTTACAGCTGTCCAAATTTTCACATTTAGAAATTTTCAACTGCTCCTAAAATCCCATTTAAAGCCATATAGCGAGACTCCACTGTATAATTTTATATTTGAAGTAATCCATCGGAATGTTCTTAAAAATGCATCCGAGTTTCACATATTCGCACACGTGCGATTTGTCAGTTAAATCCATTTAATTCACGAGCTTGGATGAGCTTCATTTATGTGATTTAATTTCAACAAAAATCAAGGAATCTACCTCTTTTAGTTACGCATTTAACTTCTATCACAATACGTGAATATGGTTTCAAGTTTGGCGATAACTATCGTGTAAATTTAACTGCTATAAAGATTGAAAATTTGATTATAGTTACCCATATAATTGTGCATATGTTTTGAGATGTAACACAGATAAAAACTACGCTCTTGAAAGAAACACATGCTCTTTTTATATGGAAGTATACTGCAAGTATACGTATCTTACGTTTATAATATCAACTATTCGCGCAGATTCGTAACAATTTCTTACAGAATATATCTGTATAATAACTTTATCGCATAAATTTACTATTCTTCAACCATCAATCTAACAAGTGTGGTGCGCATCAGAACTACTGGAAGGACTTTGATTCCGTATTGATTGGATACAACGTTTTCGTTTCGCATGTTTTATAATAGCCGTTCCAGACAGTTCCAGAAGAACTTAAAATAACAAGTTCCAATTGAAAAAGTAATCGCGTTCTAAGAAAATCGACTTAATTCTTAAATTATACGAGATCAAATTTAATCTCAGCATCTCTAATCCCTCTAATCTCTTTCCTGAATTAGGCAGAATTCTCCAAAAATATTGGTTTTTTCATTTTCAACACTTGTCTAACTAAATAATAAAGCATTATTAATACTACAGCTGCCACACTGAAATTATTTGTCGTCATATTATTTAAAGATTAAAAATCGCTTATTCTTTTATCCGCGTGCAACAAATTGTACAGCTATATATTTGAAATTTTTTCGTAGTTAACAATAAAATTTGATAAGCACGAGCTATGAAATTATTCACAATAGCATGAAAGGCACAATATCTTTTAAGAAAATAAAATATAATAATTTGTAGATTTAAAAGATATGTAGAATAAATTTTGTTTTTTGTCCAAGTTTTTAAGCACTTTCTTAAATAAGTATTATATAATTCATGGAATAAGAGATACTTACAAGAATCAATTAAAATTTTAACTAAAATCATATATTATTATTCTATTTTTATTCATTACTAACTTCTGTTTGTTTTGGTCAAAAATAGTTGTTGCTTGTCAATCAACGTTCTATTAAAAATTTAAATCAAATCATTGATTTATGGAATCATATTAAAGAAGAATTCTAATCTTTGTGTGTGTGTTCAGTCTGGCGGTTTCTACGGTTTCTATAAATTTTTCGTTAAAAAATTTAAAAAATACTTAAACTAATTAGTGTGTCGGATGAAAGTGATATAATTTGAAAAATAAAAATAGATAATACTATACTATAAAATAAAACTACATATAGCTTCAATAATTTTGTTCAGATAAAACACCAGATTCAACACAGCACACAAACTTGCGTATCCTAATGCTGCAAAATTGCATTATTAACCGAGGCAGAAACATTAACAAAAATTTTAGGAGCTACAGTTGTAGATGCATCCATCATACTAGTAGTTAATGTACTAATAGTACTGTTGGACATTAAGGTGGATGTTAAAAGCGTTGATAAAACAGTAACAGTAGTTTTTACCTTTGGTGTGACACTTTCTAATGTAGGTAAAGTGGAAGACACAGTATTTATCAAAATACTTGAGGTTGTACCATTATCTGGCACTATTGGTAGTTTTAATACGTTATCACATACATCTTTTGGATGGATAGACAATCCAAAAGCAGTATTCATCATATATGCCAGTAATGAGCCAAGCGCTAAACCCGTAGTATATGATAAAGTCATAATATTACCTAAAAGTGAAAAACTGTGAAGATATATGAAATAAAATATTAAAAAAAATTTATTTTTAATAAAAGTACAAATACCAGCTAATTCACGATGACCTTCTGGAACCTTAGTGGGTGCCTGCATCATTGGCACTGAGCCAACAATACCATTTGTAACACCAAGCAAACAAGCAAACAATAATGGATATCCTTCACCAGAGAGAATTGCAGCACCTCTTGGTAGTGCACACAGTAAAAACAAAGGAACTAGTATGGCCCTAGCACTTGCAAAATATAGTAACTGAGTTCGTTTCCATTCATAAGGAATCAATGCAAGCATCTGAAATATTAGATGATGTAATGTATAATTTTTAAACTAAATATATCACACATATTAAAAATATTGTTACCTTTCCTAATACATCTGAAGCATTAAAGGCTGTTATCAAAATTACTGGCATCCATGATTCAAGTTTACAAGAGATTATTTCTGACATAATTCCAGGATATAAACAGAGTGTTACAAAATATGCTGTTCCAATGCTGACCATATATGGTAATATTATCTTTGCCACTTCGAGTCTTGCAAGTAAACCCCCTTAGTAAAAGATTTGTATGTTACTGACAAATTTGTTGAAATTATGAGAACAAAAATTTTATACTTTTAATTTCGGTCCATGGTTTATTAGTCTGAGTCCCATATGTTCCTCTCATAACAACTACATCTTCAACCTTGTATGTAGGACCAGTACTACCAGGAGGATTTCCTGATGGTGCACCAGGTTCATACACAGGATTACTAAATGAAAATGCTGAATACTGATTTGTTCCTAAAAATAAAAAGTTATTTACTTATCATTTTAAATAAATATATTTATTGAATTTATTACAAATCATATGTACCATTTAAATCACTGTTTCCATTTGTGGATTCACCTCCTAAGGGACTAGTTTGAATTTTCAGAACTCCATACTGACCTTTTGAAGGATCACCAACTTGATCCAATGGATCCATCTATTTAAAAAGAATATTGAATTTAATAATAGTTACAGTAATTCACTGAATCAGAATAAGAATTAAAACATACCAAACCAACATCTTCTGTTGGTTCTAGTGTAATTCGATTTCTTTCCTGACATAATGTTACATAAAACTGCACAAAATCAGTCTTTCGAACTATCTGATGCAATACAAAACACATAAGAATAGTAATATTTGATAGAACAAAATATACACATGTGTTGCTGCGCTCATCATCAAGCAAAGATTTTGTTAAAAGTCGATTAACAGAAACCCACAGGCTAGCAAGACCTATAAAACTTAAACTGTTATAAAAAGAATTTAACTGATCAAATACTTTGAACAAAAATCCTACAATATTTATACATACTTTCTCCAGTCATTACTGCTTGAGTATACTGACTGGGAAGCATAGATGTGTATCCATAAAAGCTTGATTGTTGAACTGTGAACAAAACAAAAGACTTATACTTATTCAAAAATTTGTAAAGTGATTAATGAGTAATTTAATACCCAATTATTACCTGTGCACCCAAGTGCTGTTATTGCAACAGCAACTAAATTAATGGTGTATGAAGTGGTAACACCAAAAGGTTCCCACCAAACTTCACAAATTACAATGAAAGTTAAAGTGACAAAAGAAACAAGGTATCCTGAAATTTGAATCAATGCATAAAACAAAGCATAATGTGAAAAAAAGAGGAGTATACAATAATTCTATTTATTTTAAATTCTTACCAAATGTTATTCGTGTATTCAATGATAACGTTTCAACTAAAATATTGTTTGCAAATACTGCAAAGAAAGCCATGATAATGTAGACACCTTGCATATCAAATATTATGGTAGTCCCAGGATATCTTGCTTGAAAATAATCCACTGCTATGATAAAACTGTAAAATATAAATACTGTTGCTATAGATAATGAATTACTGAAATGATAATATTGCTTCCATGATAATATAAACAATATGTATATATGTATATGTAAATATATATTTAAAAATTATACAAAATTGTTATTGACTGCTTATATTTGATGTCAGTATACATGCAGTAGTGTATATTAACATCCTAATTCTAGTCTGGATAAAAATATAATTTATAAGAGCAGAAAGTCTTTTAATTATCATCATATAAAAAATATTTTTATTGCAGCATGACCTGTTGTATGGCAAGAGAAATCCTATACCGCCAAGAGTAAGGGCAAAGTAGATGAAATTAGATTTGTCGACTGGCGGTGACAAATGAGTGAATCCATTAGAGAATTTAAATTCATTCATGCCTCTCGCTTTTCCTAACTGTACATAGCCCCGGCTCAAATTCTCATCCATGTTTGCCGTGACTGCCGTGAAAGGATAAAATAAATCTATAACTGTTAATTGTTTTATGATTCCATTTTTTCGAGATAAGCTTTGGTAGTCAATTTTTTCAAAGACGTTGATTGAATTATAGCACGTCACGCCGCACTTTTTGCCGATCGGTTAATTGCACCTGATCACTACCTTATTTATTTCTTTACGCAAAGCACAGACGTGTTTGTCGCGAGTTTGAGCGCATGCTTTGAAAATTTGCGGCATTGATTTCTGCGCGCGCATTTATTATTCGTTCAACGAAAGATCGTACTTGTTGTTCGATGAAATTTTTGTTCATTTTGCGCATTTCAGCTTTGATTGGTTTGAACATACTTTATAACCAGCAGCACCGCATGTGCGCGTTGATGGCATTGCTAGTGCCAAACGTGTATACCCAGTGATCTTTATTTTATATGCTTCTTACATCGCCACCTTTTATGTTCTATTGACAAATTTTCCTCCACCGTTTATATGATCGATGGAGTTAAAAAGTATATAGTTGGGGTTCAGCATTAACTAGTGGGGATCTTACTGAAGTTAGCTACAATGCGCAAAATGAGTATGATCTTCCATTGAACGAATAATCATCACTCGTTCGTGTTCTACCGCGAAATTTAATTAATGAAATAAGTTATAAATGCTTTATAAATCGCAGACACGGTACAGCTAGATGTAAAAATATATTTTTAACAGCGTTACAGATCCACGCAAGTGCAATGCTCTACTTAAATGTAGTTTAAATTGAATTTTAGTAAATCATTGTATTCGTTTGTAACTTATATATTTTGAAAATCAATGTATAGATTATATAGTACCAAACATGCAATAAAATATGATATATCATAAACATCATATATACCTATAATTATATCTGTTTTATATATATATATATATATATACACATATATATATTTACATTGTCATTATAGAATTTGTGTTCGTTCGGTTATTAATCTTTAAAATTACCAAGCTTTGCATGAGAGAAGAGAAGAATATTAATGCGAAAGTGATTTAATAAATTATACATAATCGTAGTATTGTTATACCAAATTTGAAACTGTGATCAATGACTCTAAACAAAACAATTATTGAACTCGTGAAACTCTATCGTGATAACATTTATCGTCGTCAGGTATATTACAAAAAGGGAGAAACTATGATAAAGTCGAAAGCTTATTCGAACTCACAAATGATTTGAAAATCTTTCTCAACGTAAAAATTGAAATGGTCTTTATTTATAAATTAAAGTATCATATTAACTAGGATGCTAGCAGTAACTAGCAGTAATATAACGTTTATTGGATATTCATGTTAGCTCTGCTTGAATCTGTTTTTTAGGATTGAATAAAGTAAATCTTTTTGTTTTGTAAAAGAGTCTACATGCATTCACTTTAATGAAAAAAAAGTATAAATTACCTAGACGCCTTGGAAGACGAGACGGGAGCCGTCTCTGGCGGTTCTTCTTTTACTCTTGGCCTGGCTGACTGACGTGTCGTACTAATGGAAAATGCATACTTTGTTATGACGTATACGGTTACCAGGCTTAGTAGCGTTGCTTTAGTTAATAAAATCTAATGTTATACAAAGATTATATATTTAATTCTCTTCCTATCGAGCAGTGATTTCTCAGTGACCACTCACTTAACTGGAACTTCGCTTATTCGACTAACATAATACGATTATACAAATAACTAATATGCTTTTCTTTAGCTACTTTCAATGGATCATCAGGCATATTGACTAAATTGAAAAATATGTCATAAATTACACTAATGGTCCAATAACCGTATCTTATATACGCTACATCAATTAATAAATTATGTGAGAGTATATTTGCGTTCACATATTCATTCTCGTAAAAGCGTATAACAACCGATCGTTAACCTGTAACCATATTAAAAATTCAAGAATGATACAATATAAAATTGACTGATGTTATGATGCCTCTACTTCTATTGATATGGTTTTAGGATTACGATGTACCTAGTTGCGACAAAATACATGTGTCTATATATCATTAACACGTTAAAATCGATATTACAATAGTCCTATAAATAGCGAAGCGTCTTGCGATTCTTTATTACATGTATAAAATCAATATTCAATGATCTTAATACTTAAATACTTTCTCTTTTGTTATAGTTAGCAGTCTGCACATTACTATAATGTTTACATGTTTGCTATATCATTGAATATACTGTATTGAGATAAAATGCGCTTGCGCACTACGTAATACTCATCACTTATGAATCAGCTGATGAAAAAGAAGTATTGTTGTTGAAGTTGAACCAAAAATTAAAAACTATGTCTTTAAATACAGCTCACGCTAATGGCGGCGTTCTTATACATGCCGGGGAATGGTAAGTTAAAAGAAAAACTAATTATTGTTAAAAATATCATTGTTTCACATGTTCCCGAGTATGACGTTTTTGCAACGTAGTTATTATCGTGACCTTCCCAAAGCAATTTCCTTGTTATTATCAATCATTTTTCCGGCTAATAACAATAGTACATTAAATCCATAAAATTATAATCCTTAAACGATTGCAACAATTAATGAAATCATAAGATATTTGTTTCATCTTCGATATAATCGATATAATATAAAATTTTTATTTATGTAGCATATTACTATTTTGCGACAATGTCACAATGGAATTTCATGGACAAGAACAAGCAGAATTTGTTGGTACTAAACGGGGACGATTATACTTGACTACACACAGGATGATTTTCAATTCAAAGGATCCTAAGGATAGGATGCAGTCTTTTAGCTTTCCATTTGTAACATTAAGTGAAGTCGAAGTGGATCAACCAATGTTTGGTGCTAATTACATTAAAGGCAAATGTCGTGCTCAACCGAATGGCAATTGGGTTGGAGAATGTAAATTCAAGTTGCATTTCAAGAGTGGCGGTGCAATAGAATATGGACAAGCTATGCTGAGAGCAGCAGCAATGGGTATACTTATTATACATATGATTATAAAATTCTCTATTATTAAAACAATAGATATTTCATATTTTTTTTACATGTAGCTCAACGTAATGGACCTGCATCAGATCCACCACCACCATACCAACCACCAACATCAAGTTGGTATGCTGCACCACCACCAGCTTACCAAGCTGCACCAACTGGGTATTATGGTTGGGTACCTCCAACTAATGTATTTCCAGACATGCCACCAGGTTAAATTCTATTTTTTTTGGTATTTTTTAAAATATAATTCTTATTTCATACTAATTATATTGTGTGTTTATTAATTAGTAAAAACACTACTCAAAATGTTTTAAATATAAGGAAATTAAATTATTATATTGTGTTTTATTACATAGCAAACAGTGTATATATGACGGATATGCCTCCACCATATCCTGGTATAAATGCACCTTACCAAGGATATGCAAGCAGTGCACCTCCACAAGGAGCATGGGGAAACTCTACTCAACAATCTGGCTGGACACCACCACAACAAAATGGGGCACCTGGGTGGGCTAATCCAAATTATAATGCTCAATCAATGTCTCAAGCAGGTGCGTATCCAAATTATGGGCAACCAGTGTACAATAATTATCCACAAAATCCTCCTCCATATACTGCATATCCACAAGGTAACAACTACGCACAGCCTGGCTATTATCCGCAACAAAATACTTATAATCCATATCCGCGTAATTACTAATAATATAAAAAATTTAAATATTTTTTTGTACAAGCCTTTTAACATAACTTGTGTTTTATATATTATTGATAGTATTAAAGTTTTTTTAAAAAATTTCTTTGTGTATAACAAACGAAACACAATATACATTTACATAATTTGTTAAAAACATAAGAAACATTATATCTTTAATGAAACATACAAATGCATAAACCCTTAGTATTCTTTATAACACAATTCGAGATCACATGCTATAATATTTTAATAAAAATGATTAATTATTTTAACTATTTTTTTTTATCAAATGTATTTATGAATAACGAAAAGCTTGTTACTTATTGTTGCCATGTATAATAATTAAGTATTATGTTTTTGTTGCCTTATTACAGATTTATGATAAATATTATACTATAAACAAATTATGTTATTAAAATTTAGTCAAATACAACTTGCTGTTTTTATTTGAACCCACCAATTTGATATATTGTTTTGTTATGATGTTATATCTTTTATATAAATAATCAGGTAATGGTATCATAGTCTCTATTTTGTCTGACAAGTCTGAAGGTTTTGAGTATTATGCAATATTGTTGCATAACAGGTTTGGTTGACCTGGAGTAAGGTTGACTTTCACTATGCTCAGTTATTATCTCATAGTTGTCAGAGATAGTTCAAAAATACGTGAAGCGGTATTATGAGTGCTTAGCAACTTTTAACTTATTTTCTGATTTGTGTAAATTGTAAATATAGTGTATAAACTTATTAATTTTCCATGTCTTGCAAAAATAATATACAAAATATTGAGTTATTATCATGAACAATTCAATTTGAATATATGATAATACAATACTGTTCCTTTAGAGATACAGATCGATATTGTTTAAAAATTCTTTCGAATTTGTTATATTTTTAGAGCAAATATTTAAAGATTTATATTATGCTTGATGTATTTTGGAATTTGGCTTCCATAATTGTTCATTGCTATTGTAAAGTTAATTTATGATTAAATAAAGGAGAACATTCTCAAATATTTATTTAATTGTAATAAAAATAAAAGAAAATGCCAGACAGATTAAAATTTACTGCATCAAACGTATACAAATGTATGTAACTTATAATAATTGTAATATATTTGCAACACAACAACTTTCATTTTATTAACATTTTATTTCTTTCTTTTGTAGATGCAAAGGCAGCAGAAGCTGCCCAAAGTGCATATTATGATCCAAGCAGACCGCAATGTGCCTATGTTCCACCTCCTGCATATTATGTAATTATATTAATTTTAAACTATTATTAAGGTCTTACAATTTTAATGTTAAAAATACATATCATATATTTTAGGAAAGCCCACCAAGTTTCCAACAAGCAACGGAAAAAAAGGACCAGTAAAACTGCATTTTCGGAGTCTGAAAATAGTGGTGTAATTTTAACACTACTACCATCTAATTAGTATTATATGTATAATACACTATACTGCATAGTTACAGGTATATGCATTCCATTTTAGATTTTGCTATAATGTTGTTTTGGTGTATGCAACTAAATGAAACCATATTTCTATATTTCCTATACTATTCACAATTTTAATTACCACATTATATTATATTGTTATGCTTAAAAATATACAAGTATTTATACTTATTATGTAGACTGTATAAATGGTATATAAAAAAAAATGATTGTTGTGTTTTATGCAATGAAATAAATATATAAAATAAAAGTTATTGCATATTAAATATGGGAAAAGTTTTTCTTGAAACGCATTGTTCATATTTATATATTTTATTAAAAGTTATGGAAGGTACACAGAGTTCATATATGTATATACATATGCAATTAAACATAAAATAAATAAAAATTAATCGCGAATAATAAAATTTACATTAAATTAGAACAAAATTTCAATATGTAAATATAAATCTTTTCTTAATGGCAAGTAAAATATTTTAATTTCTTGAAGATATATATATGTATATATGTATAACACGTATATTTAAATGCTTGTATATGTATAAAATTTTAAATATGTGTGTATAAAAATATCTTTTAAACATACAATAACCAACTTCATTAAAGCACAAATCAATTTACTTGCAGCAATATTATCAAATATTAATTTTTATTCCGACTAGTTTTTAAATATGGCAGAAATGGTACATATAAAACTTCATATGTATCCATAAATTATATACAGTATTTTACAACGATTGAACAAATGGCCAATTTAATATATATGTTTCAAAACTTATCTCAACCTATGTTATATATTATACTTTGCATAAATAAGTAACTTCCTCATTAAGAATGGCATCTACAGACAATGTAAAATAAAAATTTCGTACACGCATAATTTAACGCTTAAATACTGATCTTTAACAGTATATTTTATAGTTCTAATTTTTCTTATGCATATAAAAGTTTCATAAATATTCAATTAGATATTATTATAAATACTTCAGTAAGGCAGATGATTTTAGATTTCCAAATTCCATAGTATAAAAATACTATCTGTATAGCACCTAGAATTGTATACAATAAACGTGATTATAAATATATAAAAGTCTACCCGTATTCAGAGGTGACTGTTAAACTAAAGTCTCCATCTTTAACATAAGTGCCATGATACCAAATTCTTGTGTCTAAAAGAACAATGTCTCCAGCATAAACAGTAAAATTAAAACGTTTACAAACATTATCACATTCTGGTGTTGGAGCAACAGTCCAAGTTTTATTGCCTATAATTTGTCCTTGCCACATGAGACGTGAAATATAATCCAGCTATGAAGGAAGAGACAATTTCATTAGCTAACATAAGTGTAATCTTAAAAATTAAATAATTAGGTTTATCATTGTTATTATACATACATGCATAATAGCACCTTCTTCATATCCCAAAAAAACATAATTGGAATAAGGAACTTCTGCATCTTCTGGCAAAAAATGAGGTAGACTATAAAACTTTTTCATTGTATCCAGAACCTGAAGATTGCAATTTTTCCAACCAACATACCAGGGATTTTTTCCATTAAGTTGCAAAGCTCTTTCTTCAGTCATTGCAAAAACATCATGTAAATTAGTAAGATTACTTTTGAAATGTAAAAACTGACATTCATCTACCGAATCATAAGCATCATCAATATTTTCATATAAATCTTTGAAAAATTTCCAGCTAAATACCTTCGAAGCTGGCCAATGACTTGCAGCATTTTTTACCACCATTGGTCGAGAAGAATAAGTGTATTGCTTAAATTCTTCTCTAGTTAAATTTGGCAAAATCAAAGCTGAAGTGATATCTCGGCAATAATCACAATTTGATATTGGTCTTGTGAACTCCCAAATGAAATAATTATTTGGTATTAAACATCTGGTACCACGGATATTTTTAATTATGTCTACATAGAGGTACTTAAAAAACACACCACAAAATATTGGTGCAAATATGGCAAGTAAAACTTTCTTGGAATAAACATAGTGCAAGTAAAAGCTTCTCTTATGTCTTGTATTATTTTTTATGCCAATAGATTTAAGATCTGCTAATGATACACCTTGTTCCATAAATCTCTCGGTTAAAGATAAGAAAGCTTCTTGTATACTTTCTAATGTGTTATCACTTTGTTCCATCACTAGCAGAATTAATAAATTTTTAAGTAATCATTGATACTTAATTGTTTAAAAATTTATGGGAGTTCACTTTTAATATTCATTTATTTAAATTCTGATTGTTGAATTATAAATGATTTTATCATGTTTAACTTGATGACAGCATTAGTTAAGTCATCAATAACAAATCCACTATAAAATTCATTAGTTCCCGCGTTGTTTTTCTCAATTTACTCTTTCTGCCAATATGATTGTGCGTTTATTTCTCCAATACAAATTTCATGTGACAAGAAAACACACATTATTTTCAAAAATATTTATTGCATAATGATTAAGCATATTTGTATCATTATCGGTGAAAAAATGTACTCGTTCTTTATCATTTACACAAAGTGTAAAAATAAGAATAATGAACCAACGCTATGAATCGAACGGCATCAATGACACCGTGCCGTACACACCTATTTCCACGAAATGTATAACTGTATACGTATTCGTCCACTTTCACCTATACACATCCACGAATACCTACACACGATACAAATACTGTGTCAAACCTTGAACCACTTATCTTCCTTCCAAATACGAAGTTCTATACCGATTATGTAATGAATACAATCGTTTTTCGATTGGTACAAGATCCTGTATCCTTCGACTCTTGCAATTTCTTATTTAAAGTAAAAGAAAGTCCGAAGGCCAGCTTGCTTATATAGCTTCAAGTAATTTAAAACCTTAATAAGAAGTTTCCTGTTCACGTGTTGAACAAATGTGAATAGACGCAGATGTTTCGTAGTAATGCGGGCAAGAAACTAAATATCCTATGAATGAGTAATACAGCACATCAACGACAGCTAATCGCTATATTTAAGATATTTGTCCAAAAGTTAGAAATATAAATTTACATCTCTGTTACTTATTAATAATAAGTAATTCTGTTTAAATATATGACTGAACAAAATAATAGAAATAACACCATAAAGAAGACTTAAAATTATTTATTTTATCAAATCACACAACATGATATACAAGTCTCGTTTAAACGGACATTGAATAGTTTTTTAAACGTGCAAATAGTTATGAATTTAATGTAAATGTTACGATAGATGTAAGTTTGATTTGTCGTTTCTTTTTCATGATTTTGTTTTCAATTGTACATATTACAGAGTATAAAATTTAATTTACAGCAGTTACAATACTAAAATTATACGGTATTAGTTCGTTTACGTCCGTTGAGATACAGTCCACTTCGATTTTATGTATACCAAAATTTCGGGACGATTTAATTTTTTTTACAATTTGTTTTTGTCCATAGGCCAATGTTGAAGTATATAGTAAATGTATCTACTTTAACAAATTCGTTGTTTCGTAAACAAATAGTACGATTATATTAAATTACACCAGTTTCGTGTCTGCGGACTATATTTCTTTAAAACTTAATTTATTGCAACTTGGATAATTTATAGAAATCGTATATTTGTTTTACATTTGAGAAACTTAATTCCCAACTATTTCTTCTTTTCTTCTGCTAAGCATAACATTTATAAAAGGTATTTTGATATTGAACACAATTGTCAAAATAAAATTTGAAATAATTCGAATGTATAAACTTAAACTATTTTAATTTTAATGTCCTAAAAATGTTAAAAAATTGAATTATTTCTCCACGAACTTCAAAAGATTGTAAATGCAACATCATAACTTCTTTCTTCGTTTCCTCCTATAAATTTAATTTTACAAAAGTATCACTTTAGCTTTAAGGGTTTAAATGTATCTATTTAAATAAACGAAAAAAGTAAAACTTTATGTGTTTAATTGTTTCTAAGGTAATAAAACGTTTTTAATTGTAAATGTACATTATAAGAGTAAAAAACTTATTATATTTACAAATCTTATGTATAATATAATCCAGATAAATTGAAATTACAAATACAGTATTACTTTAATGTACAAAAATTTTAGACGGTTCAGAAATCATAATGTTATGTAAACGCTTAATAATTTTAGAAAGTAAGTTCTTTAAAATTCAAACTGTCAATCATATAAAATAACTGCCGTTACTTTCAATAAAATTAAAAATCATTTACCTAAAAAATTTTCTTAACAAGAATACTTTTATTAGAACGTATCAGTTATAATTCAACGCAAAATAAGTTATTACTTACTGTTAAAAATGTGTGACTAGTACAGTCGTGTTTGTATCAATGCTTACATCTGATTACACTTTGCTTTCGAAGAGAGAAAATTCTTTCAACGGTTGATCAGAAGTAGCACCATTTACCAAGGATAGCATCTTTTATAGCGGATATGTATTGTGCAGGAACCCAATATATCCAATATCTTGAAGCTTCTGTTGTACCTAATTGTATAGCCTGCAAATTTTAAGAGTATTTAAATGTAAATAAAACAATAAAACTTAATTGTAGTACAAAACTTAAATTTTGATACTTATGTAGGTTCTAATTATTATTAAAATACAAACCATAATATGATATTCTGGATGATCATGAATTGGTTCACTGTGTACACCTTTTATGGAGTTCATAGGTATTTTATCTGTCCTTTCTTTTGTACCAATCCAAAGTTGATCTTGTTCCAATTTAAATGTTAATCTAACTTTGCCACCAGATTTATTTAACATGCCAGCCAGTGGGAATTCCGGTAGAGGTTCCTAATTTCAATTAAATTAAATTAATGATAAATAACTAATATGAGTAATGCAATTCTAAAAAATTAATTTAGAAAATCATACCTTACTGTTTAATATACCAGGCATAACATCTTCAGGAATACCTTTATCTAATACTTTTCTATGCATTTTTTGTTGAGACAAAGGTTCTTTATTTGTAGTGGAAGCAGCTTCATCAGAAAGATCTTGTTTTGTTGGAATTGATACAGCTAACACATCATCTAACTTTGATCCTACTACCATGACTTTGGCACCTTGAATGTATTATAAAAGATTTAGTAAATGTTCACAGAAATGGTTTATAGGACAATTTTCTATTATATCATAAAAATTACCTTTTGTAACACCCAAACTTCTAAGTGTTTGTTCATCTTTGGCTAATCCTTTGATCATAACTTTCTGCATAGCTGGTGGTACAGATATGATGTTCTGAAGATGAGCTTTCAATTCTGCCACAGTACCATCAAGTGGAAAATTTACATTAATTCTCTGTTTATTATAAATCACTTTAAAGTCTATATTCTCTTGGGATAAATTTTGTGAGGTAGTTGGAGTATCATTATCTTGTGTTTGTGTATTTTGAATTTCATGTTTCGATGCAGAATCCTTTGTTTCTATTGATGAGTCCTTATTGGAATTTGTATTTGATACTAGTTCAGAACAAGAAGTTGAGTTAAAAGAGTTGTCATTGCTTTCATTTTTAGCAGCATCTAAAAAATATGGAAATGTTATATAGATATCCAAACCATATATGCTTATAGTATTATTTTAAATATAATTCAATTTTATGAAAACAAAAACAATATTTATTCTGCAAAATTCTGATAACAAATTTGTAACTTAAACATTTAAATAGAATTATCAAGCAAACAATTTTATGAGGACATAAGGTTATGTTTAAAATACAGATGAAGAAAATATGTAAAAATGCATATCACTTTTAAAACTAATAAAGCCTCAATAATGCACAGAATTTCAAATAAATTGAAACCAGTTAAACATCAAATTTAAGCTAAAACAATGATTGTTTTTATGAAATTAACCCAACGTATACAGCAATGATTCATAATATTACACAACAGGACCTTTCCAGGAAGAAATATTAAGTACAATTAAAATAATTAGAAAACATGTAACAAACGATAATAAAAAATATTTATTGGTTCGCAACTTTTAATAAAAACTATGAAAAATTGGCAAGCTAGTACGTACCGACGTACTCCATGATGAACTATATCAGTGACTACAGATACTATATTTCAGCAACCAATCAAAATTATCGTAGAATGCGTTGCAGTTCCTACTATTCGTATTTACAGCGATCCTTGGAATGACTTTCAAATTTTCAAATACATTCCACAAATGAAATTACATTTTTGATTCAATTTTAGTGGAGTCAAAAAACTAACGATTAAAATATATATGTCGTTTTAATAATCGTAACTTAACGCCAATTTAAATAATAAGTAATAGATTAATAAAAGTAATGCAATAAAATGTCTGTTGTCCACGTAGACACAGAAATTTCTAAATATTATATTTAAAGTTTTATTTTTAGGTTATTCATTGAAAATATAATATATATACAGTATCGCCGTTAGTATTAAGCAAATGGGGCACTTGCCCAAGGTTCTGCGTTTGAGAACTGTAAAGTTTTGATATCAAATTTAATGGCGATATAGTGCATGGAGATATAACGAGAGGCGATACAGAGTGTAGAGATCTAATGCGTGATGATGATCTCAATAATATCGATTTTTGTTCTTAGTATTACAAATCCAGCGACGGCTGTGAACACACATATGTACAATTTTACTTACATTGTTCAATAAATTATTTCTATACTTATTATTTCTTTGAATAACTAGATAATCTTGAAAAATGAACACATTTATAGTAATATAAATTTCGAATTCATAAACTTATCTATTGAACGCAAGTAACAATTATCAGTCATCGGTATGTACAGTGAATTTTAAACTTATAAATATGAACGACGTTAGGTGGAGCTGTAATCACAGATTGCCATCTTGTGCACCACATGACCTCGTTGCCGTGTCCCGTGACCAGCTCACGTGAATTTTGACAAATTCAAACGTTTTGGTAGAAAAAAATGGATATTTTGGAGCAGCACCTCGAACAACAGGATGTCAGGTAGTGTTTACGTTAAATATCGACTGGCTGATAATGCGAACACCTATCCCTCCTGTTTCGCTCGAGGTCTCCTCAAGGTCATCACGTAGTGCACAGTGCGCACTTACAAGACTTAGGACAACGGTCGTGGAAGTAATAGGCATAGACGTAACTCTATAGATAAGTTACATATCCATTCTTCAACGTACCTACGCTTGTTTTACAGCACTGTTAACGGGAAGGATGACAGCGGCACGGGAATTGTTATTGAAGAAGCAGAAATCGTGGATTGTGAAGGTAAATATACTCACAACCTGTAGACAGTATTTTTTGTGTTATTCGTTATTCGTTAAAATTTACATGCTTCAATGTACACCTATTGACTTTGTCAAATTTTTTTTGTAGGGGAAACTGTTGGGGAAGATGGAATGCGCTATCAAGAAACTCTTGCATACAGAGTAGTTCAAGTAAATGGCACTACTGCTGGAAGTGAAATAGAACTGCCAGTTACTCAACCAGGAAATAACACTGTACAGGTCCTAACATCCCCATTAAATGGCCAGTTTTATGTTATTGGAAATGCCAATGATGTTTTCACCACTGCACAAACTTCAAGATCGTTGGTTCCTAGAACTACTACTCTACAGATAGAAACACCAAGAAATTGTACCACTGTACTCAAAAAGGTACAAATTCATATTTTACCAAATACTTTGTGTTCAACTTTAAAAGGCACAGTGTTTAAATTTCATTCATGTATATATTTTTAGAGGGATGATAGAAGAAGAGCAACTCACAATGAAGTTGAACGCAGACGAAGAGATAAAATAAATAATTGGATTGCAAAATTAGGAAAAATTATACCTGAGTGCAATGCTAGTGCAAATGGTAGTGGTAGTGGCAGTGGTGAAGGCAAAGCAAATTATGAAACTCAGGTATAAGATTAATATTTGGAGAAAATTTTATGAATCTAGACATATACTAAGAGTTTCATATTTATTTTTCATACAGAGCAAAGGAGGAATTTTAGCAAAAGCATGTGAATACATAGGGGAATTACGAGCAGCTAATCAGGGTTTGGGCCAATGCTTACGTGATAATGAAAAGTTACGACAAGAAATAACTTCATTAAAGCAACTAGTTGCACAATTAAAGCGTGAGAACCTTCAACTCAGGTCACAGATATCATCTACCCCAGGAACCAATGTTGATGTTGTGCACTTGAGTCCTTAAAGAATCTTTAGTTTTTAACACAGTGCTTCTTTTGTAAATATTAGGATATCTAAACTGACTTCATTGTCAGAAGAAGTATTTACTCTGAGAATTTTTTTTATGAAAATGTCAAATTTCGATATATTTGAATTATATTTGTCAGAAGGTATATTATGTGGTCTCAATGGTATAGTCATAACGAGTATGTCCATATATATTTTTATATTTCTATTAATTGTTTAATGACGTTAAACAAACATAACATGATTCATTTTGCAATATGTTCAAATTATGCTTTGTGTTAAACAGAATCATAATTTTTCAAATTTTCGATGTGATTCAATTATGTATGTTTATATAATTTATAGTAATTGAGTTATGACTATACCTTATAGGACCTATTAAAAAATACTTTTATTTCAATGTGTACATGTGCATTGGATCGAATTACCTCGTGTACGTGAACGAGCCAAGGCTGTGAATATTGAGCATTGATTTGAAATTCTCAAAGATACAATTTTGGGCGACATAGCCAAAGTTGATTTAAATAAAAAAATTAATTTTGTTGCAATACAAGAGAAAAATTGCGATGCAAAATATGGTGACTGAATCTTTACAGAGATCGTTAAATATTTTTTATTTTTAATACTGTTTTCACAAGTGTAGAGTAGGTACTTCATAAAATGATCTAGGGACTGAGAATGTAAAATAGATTAATCGTACACGTGTAGATGTGTATGTATATATGTATATATACACATATGTGTACATATGCATATACGTACGCGTATAGCAATAAACATATTTTTTTCAAATCAAGATTTTGAATGCTATGAAAATTGCGTCAAAATAATTAAAAAAAAATTAAATACTGATTTGTAATATATCGTTGATGTAAATATCGCGAGGTTATTGTTATATAATAATATTATTATTAAAATGAAATTTAACGAGGTTCCATTATTTTTATTGAAACGTTGACCATAATCCTGAATAAGATATCCATTCTTTTTATGTATAGTATTTATTTATTTTTACATATGATACAACGGAAATGTCGAAGTTAGTAGAACACTGTTTTCGATGCTTTTTTTCTCTATACTTTCTTTTTAACGATATAAAGACCCTGCACCTCAACAGTTTAACAGCTTGATATTTTTTTTTAAACTTTCAGACTATTTCTCAACGTTTTAACGTTCAAAATAACACTTTTATGTAACGTTATATTTACCGCTTAACGCGTAGACATAATACACTATTATAATACAAGATTTAATACTCATTAATTGAAAGTTTCATGTCCAGGTAAAAAGCTATCATATCACCCTTGCTGCTAAAACAAGCGCATGTTTCTGCTTTTCGAAAGAAAAATATGTATTATATATGGATGAATGGAGAGCTTTTTACGATGTTTTATTTGACACACGTACAAATGTTTCTCTGCATAACTTCTTCCACAATCATGTTTCATTTATGCTAAACAAAATAACAGGAAGCTTGATTCTCCAGACAACTTGTCTTCTCTTTAACATTTTCAACTAATTACATGTAACTTTGTTCCAAATTTTTTGCAGTAACTTATTATAGTACTTAATACATATTTTTTATAAGCTGGAAATGCATTTAAGGACGTCCTACCATTTTATTATCTCAACCATCACGTATTGTTTTTATATTAAGTATTCAGTTAATACACATACAATTATAGTAGATTTTATATTTGTAACATTTTATGTACAAGATTTTGTAAGTATTGAAACTAATATAACAGTAGTTTAATGCGTGATACGTGATTACGAAATATTCGTTATACTTCTCTCCAGTAGATCCAGGACATCCTTAAATGACCAGCATATAAGGTTCCTGAACATAGAGAATTTATGTTCGTATAATTGTTTCTGATAATTAATCTTCTAGATTTCTAAATGCTTGTTGAATATCCTCGTGCAACTGATCGAAATCAGCTCTAATCTTTGCTTCGCCATCTTTCACTGGATCCTGAAACAATCAAAATACGTATTGCTTCTGTTTCTATATACCAAAATATGTCGTTAATAATATTTACCTTAAACTTCATGGAACTCAACTGATAGAGAATATTACCCATGCTATCTCTAATAACGTTCCATGTTATTTTATTATCTGATTGCGCCGTAGATTCCACTGCATGCCTTGCCATATCATAAAATGCGATCATATTTCTCAACATTCCCACAGTTTTGTAGAATGGGCAGAAACGATCGTATGGTGAGTAGCTGTAGAGCACAGCAATACATTAATACTATTACTTCTAAATATGATAGTACTAAGAAAATAATCAGTACCTGTTTTGCTGTAAGAAGTCATCTTTCAGAAGTTTGGCAACTTCCAGCGTAATTTTATCTGTTTCAGCAAGGGAAGCTTTACCAACTAGCTGTACAATTTCTGATAGATCTTCTTCTTCTTGCAAGATCTCTTTAACTTTGGTTCTCAAAGGAACAAATTCTTGGAAATTTTTATCATAAAAGTCATCTAAAGCTCGCAGATATTTACTGTACGATATAAGCCAATTAATAGACGGGAAGTGTTTACGCTGCGCAAGTTTCTTATCAAGACCCCAGAATACCTACAAAAATAAAACACATAAATATAGGGTTTCTTCAAAAAATATTAAATTATGAATCCTAATCAGTACCTGCACAATACCAAGAGTTGCACTAGTAACGGGATCAGAGAAATCACCACCTGGAGGTGATACAGCACCAACTATACTAACGGAACCTTCACGATCAGGATTACCTAAACATTTTACTCTGGAAATAATGTGTTTAAAATCAGTATATAGTACATTGAAATATTCAATCACGTACGCCTGTAATGAATTAAACTACCTTCCTGCACGTTCATAAAAGCTGGCAAGTCGTGCACCGAGATAAGCAGGATAACCAGAATCGGCAGGCATTTCAGCTAATCGACCAGAAATTTCACGAAGAGCTTCTGCCCAACGAGATGTTGAATCTGCCATCATAGATACATTGTAACCCATGTCTCTGAAGTATTCTGACAATGTGATACCTATAGAGCAGATAATTTTTGCATACATTCTTTATATAATAAAACAAGAACAAAATGTGCTGAATTCTTTTGTAGACAATTGTATATGTACCGGTGTAAATAGATGCTTCACGAGCAGCTACAGGCATATTTGAAGTGTTAGCAACCAAAGCAGTACGTTTCATGATAGACTCGGTGACACCGTCAATTTCTACAGTAAGCTCAGGGAAGTCACGAAGTACTTCAGACATTTCGTTACCACGCTCTCCGCAACCAACGTAAATAATAACATCGGAGTTCGAATACTTCGATAAAGCTTGCGAGATGACAGTTTTACCACAACCGAAAGCTCCTGGGATAGCAGTTGTTCCACCTTGTACACATCTATAATTTTATAAATATCTTTAGTATTTGTTCCATTTGCTATAAAAAACGCTTAGAAGTAACGAATTAAAATCCTACGGGAAAAGAGAGTCCAATACTCGTTGGCCAGTAAGTAAAGGATGATTAGCTGGTAATTTTTCAGTAACTGGACGAGGTTGACGGACTGGCCATACCTGCAGGCATATAATTATATTATTGTGTATGTGCTCATACTTAAAATATAGGTAAACTTATATTCATACCTGAAGCATGGTATATTTATGTCTCTCACCATCAAATTCTGTCTCCAAAACAATGTCCTATAAAACACAGCAGCAAGGTGTTTATTAATTATATTAAACAAATTATTATTGCACTACAAATGTTTACCTATCAGTATTTAACTTACATTAACTGTATAGTTTCCAGCAGGTGCTACATAAGTAACAGTTCCCTTACTCTTTGGAGGTAAAATCATCTTGTGTTTGACTAATGTATTTTCATAAACTATGCCAAATAAATCTCCACCAGTAATGTGGCTACCATTTTTGATATTGGATGGATTAAATTCCCAGCTAGCGGTTCTTGATAATGCTGGTACATTGATACCCTTTGGGATATAAATTGAGCTTGTAAGCTCATTGATATCCTTCAATGGCCGCTGAATACCATCAAAGATACTGCCAAGGATACCAGGTCCAAGTTCTACAGACAATGGTTTTCCAGTACGTAAGACAGGATCTCCTACAGTCACACCGCTAGTTTCTTCATATACCTGTGTATAAATAGTAAGACCATAAATGACATAGTATTACAATGTGCATGTAATTATTAGAACATACATAATCATTTTAATGTTGTCATACCTGAATGGTAGCCATATCACCTTCCAAACGAATAATTTCTCCTACCAGTTCATAATATCCTACTCTTACCAATTCATACATAGCTGATCCTGACATTTTCTCTGCAGTAACAACTGTAAGTAAAATTATATTTTAGAAAGAATTAAATCACAGTATAAATTGTAAAAAGTATAATATACTAACCAGGACCAGATACTGCATAAACATAGCCAAATTTGGTCTCCCTCTCTTCATTACTAATTTTTGGCATCCCACGACTCGTCATTGTGAATCGTTATTTATGTAAAACCAAACTGAAAGCATTTTAAGTCATAAGCTATGTAGACATAAATGTAATGAATTCACTTAGAAATATTTTATTAAACAAGAAGGGAAGTAAAATATACTCTGATAAAAAATTAAATATTGTTAATTGATCATTACATAAAAGTTCAACTGTATCATAAATTAAGTTACAGAAGACAAATTAGTAAAGTGTAATACGAAATGTTACTTAAACTCACTTTACCAATCATTAAATGGGACAAAATGAACAGAAAAATCGACGATCGTGAATGTTCTATTCAAATCGACTACCTTTGCAAACAGTTTCAAATAAATTTCGCTTGGAATTGGCAAAAAGATTGATGTCAACTAACACATTCATTCACTATAAAATTCACGTGAGCAGTTCATTTAAAAAGTAGGCGTAGCCCTCTTTAAGCCCGCGAGACGTCTGCTGTCCTAACAAAATATCGATTTTAAACGGGATATTTATCATCGATCACCCATATGGAACAGTTTAATCCCTTTTTTATTGATCTCAGACTGAATATAATAGATAAATTTTATCATTGATTGAAAATACGATGGTGTATTCAAACTGGCACGATCGATACTATACGCGCCAGCCTTTTCGCAAAAATCACAGGTATCTTTTATGCGATATAAAATCGTTATGATTATATTCGCTATGCGGTAAACTGTAAAGCACCCAGTACATCTACGATCAATGAAATAAATGACAGTAAAGAAACTTACGAGACGTGAAACGTATCGAAGTAAGCCCACCCTACAACAGCAAGTCAAGCTACACAAGTCGAGCCTGGCTGCTATCACAAGACAGGTCAGCTGACTGATTTAAAAGCTTATTTTCAATGATCGAGTTTTAGGGATGATTTACAAACGAACAAAATTTTTGTCATTAAAACATTTTAGACGTGTTTTTGCTGAAACATTGTATACCAAGTGTTTCAAATGTTAATTAAAAGTTATAATAATACAACGTAATTGCAACAAGATTAATAGTAACACAAAAGAGTAATCATTTTAAAGTATTATTTAACAGATTACATTTGTTTATGACATTGTAGAAATGTAGAAAATTAGGTTATTTTGAAATTAATATTTTTTTCAATTATAAAAATAGAATACTTATTAATACACTAAACATTAATTGTATTGTGCGCGCAACAATTACAAATTTCGTATATACCAAATTCTAAACGACATTGACGAAGCTAGTTAAAATTAGAATCAGTCAAGGCAAATTAAGCTTTATTATTATAATTAGGCATTACAAATTTGTGCACATTTTATGTAGTTATGATTTTCAAGTATTTCATACAAAAAAATTGTTATTGCTAAAGGAAACAGCTTTTTAAGGAAAGCTCTGATTTTAAATATTACCAGATATTATTTCGTAATATTTAATCATTATATATATTATAATTATATATTTAATGTCTAATTATTAGTACGGAACATTATAATATTAGTACCTCGATTTAGCGGGCACTTTAAATAAGAATTACTTACAGACATGAATTAAAATACGAATTTACAATATAAACATTGCAAGAAATAAAAATCTCATAAATATAGCATTAAAGTCAATAATTTGATATAAATGTACAGGCGAAGTAAATATTTAAAAAAGTATAAGCGCCTTATCACAAATTACAGAGTGCAAGCTAATCAAAACATACTTACGTAGTGTGAACGAAAACTTGTTTTCCGGTGCATCATACTTCCGGAAAGTATCGAATATACCATCTATCTATTACCAAATCTATGGCTTACTGACACAGTTCTTTTCATAAATATGTGTGGATGTTATATATATTTCCTACTTCTGTGATTAAGAATATCATTTGAGCGTCAGATTTTCGCGCAGTCTTGAGCAGTTGATTGACTTGCTTCGTCGCATATCTGTTCTACGATTGTTCATACTGTAATTTAATAATTATCTGTAAAACTTGATCAGTAAAGTGCAATTCAAAACTTTTGGTTTGATAGATATTCCTAAAAAGTGCATTTGACATTTCAGTAGGTGAAAGGTTGTTAATATTAAAATATGGATATAACAAATCTGCAAGAATTCATGGAATTGCTTGGTCGATTGAAGGTAAGTCGTTAACGAAGGTTTTTGTCAAGGCAACATTGCGACAAATATAAATTCATAGTTTCGGACTCGTGATCTCGCTTCTGTATACATGTATTCATACGTCAAATGTTCTCTTTTGGCATTCTCAATCAAGTGCAATCAGCATGATTTTGTGTAGTTAATAATGTGTTTGATGCTATAGAATGTTTATTATATAATGATTTCTACAAAATTTCTAAAAATTTGTAGGAAGTAATTATTCAGTGCTATTTGACAGTTTTGCTGTTAATTAATGTTATATTTTTTAAATATTTATCTTAAAAAACAAAAGCAGTCATTTTTTATTTCATCTGCCATTCATGTGTTTTAACTTTGGTCTTCCTTACATATATTTTTATGTTCTGTTAATCAAAGCTATTTTTTATTTTTTTTTAATAAAACAACTAGATTTTTAATAAACATGTTTATGATTTTAGCATATGAAAAGGACAGGATGGGTGATCAGAAATATTCCTGATCCAGAAACAATCGCTGGTCACATGTACAGAATGGCCATGCTTTCATTCTTAGTGGATAACGAAGAAAATTTAGACAAAGTCAAGTATGAAATGGTATTATTAATATTGTCTGTGGAAGATAATTGATCATCAAAATTTTTTTATATATATAAATTATTTTTTGCCAACTATAGAATCATGCAGATGGCTTTAATTCATGACTTAGCAGAGTGTATTGTGGGAGATATAACACCTCATTGTGGTATACCACCTGATGAGAAACACAGGCTAGAAGATGAGGCTATGGAAGACATTTGTAAACTGTTAGGAGACAAAGGTCCTATGATATTAGAAATGTTTCGTGTAAGCATAATTGATACATATTTTACATCTATAAAAGTATAATGGCCTTAATAATTTGTTTTATCATTGTTTCTTTTTAAATCTGATCTACAGGAATATGAAAAACAGGAATCCGCAGAGGCAAAATATGTTAAAGATTTGGATAGATTAGACCTGATCATGCAGGCATTTGAATATGAAAAGAGAGAGAAAATTCCTGGACAGCTAGAGGAATTTTTTGTTGCAACTAATGGAAAAATTAGACATCCTTTTATCAATAAAGTAGCTACTGAAATTGCTGCGAGGAGAGAAGCTTTTCAGACTGTCTCAACTAGTTCAAAATGAAAAAATGTGAAGTTCTGTAAACGGGATTGAAAACTATAACTCTTGTTTTGGCTAATTATTTATAGGTAGTCTGGGTCATTGATAGCGCAAATAACATTTCATTTTTTCCAAATTCTTATTTTTAATAGATAAAACGTTCTACAATGTACTAACAACTTTTTTCACATGTTTTGAAAGTTTAAAACAGTGAGTTGATGTACATGACCCAGTTTGCCTATAGAGTATACAAAAGATGGTGCATATTGACAGCTAATTTACATCCACTAAAAGTTAATGAACAATAATATAAAAGTAATAATACCAAATTTTTGTTGCACACATGTACTACATTTTCAATAGATCTTAAAATATGTTTCACAAGTGCAATGATTTTTTTTTGATTTTTTGTGAAAACATTACTTATTACTAATTTATGGTAATTTTAAGAAACAATGTGAAGTAACTGAAAAAATTAAAACACTTTTAATTTTATCTGTCATAAATATATTGATTTTTGAGTGAAATTTAATAATAGTACAAATTATTAATACTTAAGTATAATTAATATCTATAAGATTAGATATTGGTTTGTTATATTTAAAAATCTGACAGTTAGTTACCACACCAAACATTTATGATTTAATTTATTATTATCTATTTATAAAAGTAAATAAAGTTTTATAAAATAAATTTCTGTCCTCATGTTCATATTCCTGCAACTGATATATCCCTAAGCATCCATCCATTGTAAAATGTATTTATTTCTAAACTAATAATATATCACTTGATATAGAATGATAATTATAATCCATTTATCTTTTTCACAAAATCCTTTAAAATATAACTTATAAAGTCAAAGATAATACTCTTAATACAATATCATGAGTAGGTGTGTTAGTATTTTATTGCTCTTTTATTCAATTTTTACCATTCTACAAATCGAAATTCGTCGAAGCACATACATCACATACATTTACATTGTACACACATACATTTAAAGACGTCGTTGCACTTTTTCTATATATAAGGGTTAGTGAATGGAATCAATCAGTTGTATAATCATCGGTAACGGTGGAAACCAAACGTTTTATCAATTCCCGGAATCAGTTTCCGACTTTGTTCGTGTGCTAAAAAAAAATTACGGACACAGACTATATACGAAAATATTTTTCTTTATTTCCTGTAAGAATATCAACTGAAACAAGTATTTGAAAGAAGTTTTTGATTATCATTGTAAATCAGCAATTTATCTAATAAATCTTTAGAAATCAAAGCGTTGTTTTTGGAAGATACACTTAGAAATCTAAGCGTTGTCTACAGATATTGATCGATCGTCAGTTAGTAGCTGGTACGCGTTACGAGCGTTTTGCTTAAAACTAACCTTGTAAAATAAGTTGTTTTAACAATTATCAACAAAAGAATCGTACATCAATTGTATGCGAATACAAGTTTTCACTTGTGAACATATTACGGCGAAACAGCATAAACATATTATCTACAACTACATACAAGTGAAATTTTACGTCAGGATACAAGCTGGTTTTGCCACCGGTAACCGTGTTTCTTGTAGATGATGGGAACAAGAGATACCCAATCAATAGTGAATTCAATTTGCGCGAAAAAGCGGCGCCCTATGGAAAAATTTTTAACCGATTTCGATTTGAAAGAACAGAACAATTTAAATTATACGAACTTTCGGTCGATTTGCGTGGCACTTTTCCAATCGGATGAACTCGAAAAGGAAGAATGGAGAATTCAAGAAATTTTCAATTTATTCGATCGCGACAAAGATGGCATTTTAAAGGACCAAGAATGGACGATGTGAGTATGCATGTGTGTGCATGTTACAAGTAAAACGAACAATAAATTTAATTCAGCATAACATTATAGTCTCATTGAACATGTATACGTAATGTTGGTGATTTGAACATAGCTTCGAAAAAAAGATTTACATAATTGTTGCGATGTATGGCAACGAGAGGGAGAGAGAAAGAATGAATACAAAGAGATGCGCGAGTGTAATTATATGAGTCAATTAACCAATCAATTAACAAATCAATGTACGAACGCTAAATTTAGAAAATAGTTTTTTAACAAAGTTAGAAAAAGAGACTTAGAAAAATTATTAAAATGGAGTGGAATGAATCAAAGTTAATACGGGGCAAGAACTGTTTCTTTCATTTTCCCGCGATTTTTATAGATCTACGTATTATATTGTAGTGCAGAAGTATCATAAAGAAAGTTCATAGAAATTCATGCAAATATGGCAATATAACGAAAACTTACCGTTTATATGAAAATTCATATCTTTACAAAAGATATGAATTGTATCTGCATAGAAGATATGATAATGAACGTTATGTTATAACAGAATTTGTTCATAATGTACGTTATGTAACCTTTTTTTTTATTAAGCAAAATTTCATAAAGTGCTGATTACTGTAAGATTGATTTATATGTAAAGTCATTCAAATAATAATTTTTTTACAGATAAATACAATATGATTAAAATTAATATACATTTGTGATTGCAGTGCTATATTTATATATATGTAATTTTAATTTGTTCATATTCAATTTTAGATTACGATATCACAATAATATTTATCTGATTTAACCGACAGATTCAACGATTGGTTGCGAATCATTTTTGAACCTGTAAAGGCACTTCTTGTCGTCGACGTGCAAAATGACTTTATCGACGGATCTTTAGCCCTCCGTCGATGCGGCTGCAATCAGGATGGAGTTGATGTAATTGAGCCGATAAATCGTTTGATAAGGAAGGGACATTTTGATAATATTATTTACTCTTTGGATTGGCACCCAGAAAATCATATCAGTTTTTATGAAAATTTACACCTACGCGACTTGCATTCGGATTCAAAAGTAAGTGTATAATTCCTTTCCTTTCTTTTGCATATATTTTTCTTACTTTCATGGACGTAATATGTAAAAATATATTTTTATAGACTAAGTAAGAAATTTTCGAAACGTGTACTTTTGTAAAGTTCATTCTTTAACGGGACAAATGGTGGACGATAAATCGATAAATCTTTTTGTTGAAAGGCACATTCCTTTATCCCATGTTGTGACCAGATCCTTGAGTCCGCGAGGGACAACTTTATTCTAAAGCAATGCGACATCGCGTTAAAGTTGCTTTCTATTCCCAAATAATGCCATGCCTTTTTTCAAACAATCAATGCCATAACATCCGATACCTACAACGTCGAGTCACCAGTAATTATTGGACATCTGGATTGTCCTTTTTTACAAGCACCCTTTAGGCCACGTGCAGGATAAGTCCTTGCCATAAATCGTGCGAAAGCACAATAGCGCCTGACTATTTGCTCTTCGAGGGCTCTTAAAAATAAACCGTCGGTAACACGTGGGTCCCAAATAGAGTTTAGTAAATTTCATTTCAATAGGACCGTTAAAGATAAACCGTTAATAATAATGGGTCGAGCAAATTTGCTAATAACGAATTTGTTCTCGTATACAATAATACAAACGTGATTTTTTTATTTATGCAGGTGACCAAGGAGAATGCAAAGCCATTTAGTACCGTAATTTTTGTGGAGCCTTATCTGGAACAAATACTTTGGCCGAAGCATTGCGTCATGAACACATGGGGAGCACAGTTGCACAAAGACCTTGTCATTGCGACAGCTTCGGAACAGGTAGTTCATACTTTTATCTATTCTATATACATTGCTTTGTTAACTTTTACGTTAGTTGTCGATAGGAGAATTTTAATAATGCTTTCATTAAACGTGCATCATTTTTCAGGTACGCAAAGGCCAACATCCAGATTTGGAAGCTTACTCGGTATTTTACGATAATAATTCGAAGGACTCTATGGAATTGCAAACGATCCTCCGTAAATCAGGCGTCACGCACCTATATGTATGTGGTTTGGCTTACGACATTTGTGTAAAAGCCACTTGTTTAGATGGACTTCGATTAGGATACGCATTAGCCGTTATCGATGACTGTTGCCGTGGCGTGGACGCAAATAACATCGAGACCACCAAGAAACTGATTGCTGAAAACGGAGGTTTGATCACCGACAGTAACGATGTGCTGTCGTTGGTGAACGAGGGAAAACGAAGTCTTATCATGAGCCATCAATCTGCAAAAGCTGTGACCTCAATTCCGGCCTTGGATACATCCGTGGATGGTTCTGAGTGATATCAGACGAGAGGACAAGAAATGAGCAGGATGCTTTGAAACGAGTATGGCAAGAAACGAGCTGAAGCCATAGAACATAACATTCAAATGGGTCTAAGTTACAGGAGAGTAGAAATTATTAGAACCGATATATGTCAAGATAATTATTACTCTAGAATTTATTTAGAAATGAACTTTCTTTTCCTTGCAGTATGTTTTAATGCTTTCATGATAAATATGTAAAGATACAGTATTTTATTAAAAAGGAGAAGAAAGAAATAGTATGTGACTAGTCTTAAGATAAAAGATCATGAAGGAAATCTAAGAATCTTATATCTCTTATTGACTAGTAACTATTTCTCAAGACAACATATCTCGCAATAGTCTTAAATTCCTAGTTTAACTAAATTAATTTCATTAGTTTTAATAATTTATATTTAAGTCCTATCATACATAAGATTATATGTTAAAATTACTGAATATTAGATCAGGGATGATGGTACCTTCACGGTTTAAATATATTTATGTACATAGTACACAGTATAGTGGTCACCGAATATGCATATCTAATATATATAATATTTTAATACAATATACTTTAACTTATATCAGAACAATATTCAGGGAAATGAAAGTAATGCTGGTACTTAATATAGAAATAATTTTATTTATGTAAAGCATTAATTTATTTTAAAACTACTTGCCAGAACATTCAGTAGCGTGTAAGAAATCTCGCAAACAATCAAATAAATATGATTATATTATGAATTAAAATATGTTTATAGTTTATAATATATTTATAGTTTACATTATATCATATTATAAATATAAATACGATTGTATAATGATATAGTTCAGTCGTTGTTTGTACCCGAATAATCTTTGCTCATTAACATTCGCGCACTCTTCTCAATTTTATTCGCTGACTCGTCATCTACCGTTAATTTGCAGGCGTATCTGTGTCTCGCTCCACAATCATCGCTTTGGTACGAGTACAGTCTGGACGTTGAATTGTAGGACAATTTTAAGCACCTACAATTGAAAGGTTAAGCTTCATACCATACACATATCACATAAATTTCAATGCTATAAATCATAACTCTTACCTGCCATCACCAGATACCGTTTGCTTTGTGTTTTGAAAAACTGGCTTGGCGCTGCTTGCCCAGATCCACAGAAGACCCGGATTCAATCCTCCCGTCCAAAAGGTTTTACCTTTCAGCTTGGAGTTCGTTTGCAAGTTAGCGAACACGTCACGTTTCTCATCATTCGTATCGAACTCGATCAATTGACCACCCATACCTCGACACAAACTTGCTGATGACTTCCAGTCGAAATCACGGGTGCTGAAGTGATAGCAATTTTGGCCAATCTTCGTGTAATTGGAAGGACAAGGTTCTGAAAAATATAATTAATTATCAAACAATGTATTGGAAATTGGTAAGAGGGTAGAGCTCACCTTTTTTATTGATATTTCCAGAAATTACATAATATAGTAGCTCTTCTGCTCTTCTCAAACGATTCTCTAGGAAATCTACCCTGTAGACGAGCTTTTCTATTGCACCTAATGTTAATAAACAATCAATCATAAAATGTTCTTAACAGAATTGCGTTATCAAGTACTTTACCAAGCAAGTAAAGATCCGTTTCAGAAACTTCTCTTTTGTTCGGTGTCGAAACTTTATTAGATACGGTCAAAGTTTTGTCACCCAGTTTCATTACTTTCGATGTCCTTGACAATTTTGAATCAGAGACAATCCAGTTTTCCAGAATCTCGCTCCAAGGCCCAATGGAAGTTTCTATCAGCGTACTGTTCAATGAATCAATAGCAGACACGGGGGACAAATTACCTATTAACATTTTTACAACTTCGATAGAAAAGACATCCATTTTCATAAAAGTCATTCTTCACGTACCTGGGATTCCCATACAAACGGACAGTTGTAAAACTAGCAATAGAAAATGTAAATGAGATCCTTTACGCTTCATGGTAGACCTGAAAGTAGAAAACGATGGTCAGGAAAAACCTAGTGTGGTTTTTATTTCGTATACCGACTTACGCGAAGAAAGTTTCGAGCAACGGTTCTTAACTTTATGCTAATTACTTCTTTAAAAGGAATTCGTTTACCTTATACTAGTTATTTCTTCTTCGTGAATTTATTCGTTCATTTTATTGTTATAATTTCTTTGATAAGAATATTTTTATAAAATTGTATTTATCATTTTTGTTTTTTAATTTTATTTCGTTGTTATTAGAATAAGTCTTTCTTTCAGAAGAAATGTAAATGGGTAAGATGAAGATACTACTTACGTAATATTCGTAGAACAGAGACGTCCTCTCGGTTGTTATCATTCCACAGTAAGTTCTTCTTTCAAGACGCGCACCTGCTTGGTCCGTTTCCGTTTGTGAACCAAGCAAGACTATCGACCGAAGACTCGATCGAGTAGCCTTCTGCTTGGACACTTTCTCTCTCCTCCTCGGAAAATAAGTCACTTTCTTCGACGAATTCGACTATGCCCTTCTCGCATGGTTTTGCAACCACTTATTAGAATTATTTGTTCCGTCAACATGCTACTTACTTCTGCAAATTCTACTCGTTATCGTATTCAAGTTATTTTTTACAAATAAGTAGAGTATATACCAAATTTTTTAGGGCAAGAGAATATTAATTTACCAGTATTTTGAAATTTTTTAATCCTGGGATAATTTTAAAGCATTAGAGCAGTGAAAGTTTAGAATTCTGGACTATTAGAATTTTAGAATCTTGTTATGTACTTTAATATCTAAAAATTTAGAATATTTTAGATAATACTTGGAGTTCGCGAATTCCAGATAAAATTTCCAGGACATTGTTTCACGAATTTCTCGCTCGCTTTTGCATCCAAGTATGTTGCAGCATTTCTCAAAGATCGTCCTACTGACACGATTCTCTCCATTCTCTCGACTCATTCGAAGCCACAACTAGTGGACAATTTTCGTCAATTACGTGGCACACCAAAAAATGAATCACTGATACAGCCAGTAGATTAGCATTGTAATGTAAATCGAAGGGAACAAAGCATCATACTTTGCATTTCTTTAATGGAACAACTATTGTGACGAGGAATTTGCATCAGATTCTCAATTGTCCAATGCAAATCGTCGGCAACTAGTATAATTACCTATACACTTTGTATGTACATTCGTGTTTACAATAAATTTGGTCGGTATCTGGCAATGATGTAACGCAACGTAACAATCGTTCATTGAAACGTTCTACTATAGTTTCACAGGCAGTAACATTGAACAGTCATGCTATCAGTCTTTCAATTTTGGTCGCGATTAAAAGTAGACGGTGAGATTGAGTCGTTCGTTTCCGATTTGGCTATTTCTGCTCTTCGTTTCAGCCGCTACTTCGACGCTGTCCACTGTCTGAAAAGATTTAATTATTAGTAATTTAGATTTATGAATTTATAGGTGAGCAACGAGGAAGATACCCTGTCGTCGTCGTCCCAGGACAATTTCTTCACTCTTTGTGAAACGGAACAGGCGGGCCAGGCAGGTACTAAAGAATCTGGAAGATCGACAGAATAACTGGAAGATTCTCTTGAACTAACGTTTACGTTAGTCTTTGCGCTCAAATCATTCATATTCTGGACAAGACCACCGATGTTTGGGATGTTGGTTGTTGCCGATAATCCCGGAGGAGTTGGAGCTGGAGCAACCTTGTGTCTCGCGTAAAGAGGCATTTGTCTAGCCGAGGTTAAACCTAATTTACATAAATAATAAATGAAATATACGCAATGAATCATTTACAAAGATCCATCGCTCATCAAATTACTTTTAACGGTGGCATTATAGTTCCTTGCTCCAAAAACTGGATTCTCAACATCATTTCTGTCGGTTGTCTCCTGAATTTCACCGTTGTTGCTGTCGTCAACGATTTCCTGATCAACGTGATTGTCATCCTCTGGATCGTCACCAGCATCGGCCTCGTCGTGCTCGTCGATGCTTTGGACGGTCTCGTTGCGGTGTCCTCTTCGCGGTATATCTAGACTGTCCTGTAGCATGTTCGCCCCAAGAACTTGAGGAGTAGGACTCAGAGCCGAAGGAACCGGTGATTTTTCACGGTAACCGGTGCCTACAGAACTCACAGAGCCACTGGTCTTTGGTCTTTTACTAAACATGTACGGTAAAAATTGTAAGAAATTCAATCGAACGTAGAATGCGTGAGCTATAATGTTACTCACTGTTTATATATGTACAGAATCAAGACGAGTATAATAACACCGAGGAGTCCCAAGACTGCACCGAAAACGGCTACCAGAAGGACGCTGCTGCCCAACCAAGCAGGTGCAGCTCTAGCAGCGATTGGCACCGAGCCACTGCTCGGTATATGCACGATCACCGGGATCATACTTGATCTTTAAAACAGAATATTGAAACAGTCACGCGTTATAACTGGCAACAGGTTTTGTTCACTAAATTTAAGCGTTTTCTATCGATGTACCTGGGAGGACGGCCCGAATCGGAGGCCACAGCCACTAATCGAGCCAAGGAACCATTGATAGTCGCTGCTGATCTGAGAATCAGTTCTCCATTGTCGCGTATTTCGAAAGACCTGTTGCAATTGCACATTTAAAGTTCTATCATGGCTGAAGGATTTAAATGATATAATCTTGATACCTTGCATCAGGACCCCTGAGAGAAAGACTGACTTTATCGTCTCTGTCGCCATCGGCTGCTTCCAGTTTTCCTAAGGAATGTATCGGTATTATTAATTGATAAAGAGACGAAGACAATTCTGAAGGAGAAAGTAGGCTCACCGACAATAGATCCCTCTCTCAAGGTTGCAGCGTGAAATTCATATCTGGGATGACGAAATCGGGGTTCCCATTCATTTACGTCTTCCACCGAGACGTTGACCCGTGAAGTATCGTTCTAAAATATTTTATAATACTTGATTGAAATATTCTATTATGGAACACTGAAGTTATGTCGTAATTAATTTAAAATTTTTTATGGTTTAGTAAACATACATGATGACCATCGGTGACTCGAACTAAGAAGCTGTGCTGTATCCTTCTCTCATAATCTAAAGTCCCTTTTAAAATCAGTTCTCCAGAATTAGTGATGGAGAACCTCTCCAAATCTTCTACTGCTCCTTCAAGCCAAAACCGCAAGTTCTACGAAGAGAACAAATAATCAATAAAGTTTTACATATAACACAATACAATTCACATGAAACTTACAGAATCTACTTTATTTACTGCAGTTGTTAATAGAACACTTCCTGGAGGAGTGTTCTCTGGAATGTTCGTTTGGTGATCTCGTTTTATAAACTTCACAGGTAATCTTCCACCAGCAGTAGGTTCTACGTTCCATTCGCTCTCACGAGAAACAACTATGGTAGACAGAGCGTATTTGTCTGGATTGTCTATTTGCGTAGCCTGAAAATCAGATTTCATTATTAAATAAACGACTGAAGGAGTTATATCAATACCACATTTCTTACCTTAACAACAATTGTTGCTGGAGATAGCAACTCATGTTCATATAATGGCCGTGTTATCGTGACCTCGGCTGTTTCAGGATTTAGTGTAAGAAATGGCAGGATTCCACCTTGAATTGTGTATTTGACTGGAGCATTGATCCCGGCATCCTGATCCGCAGCTTTTATGGGAGCTGGCTCAACCTTCAGTATTCTTCTCTACAAGAGCGAGTTAAACTTGAAATCTAACACCTCATAATGATAAAGTATCCAATCTTACCGATTTTATATGCCTAGGTATGACAATTTTATATTGGTCCGTTTCAAAGGCAGGATTTTGGTCATCCGCGTCAATGACGTTCACATAAAGCGTGGTCGTTGATGATTTAGGAGGGTTGCCTTGATCCTGAAAAATAATTTTCTGAAAATAACAGAACCTCTTCAACATTTTTAAATGATTAGAATGAAGATGGTACCTGTGCACGGATGTCAACAGAGAAATTTGAAAGAAATTCATAGTCCAGCGGTTTTCTCAGCACGAGGGTTCCCTCCAAAGCGTTCACGAACACGAAATAGTCCTAAATAGCAATTAGAATACTTATAAAAATCTTTAGAATATTTTGTAAATGTAATGAATTAATTTTTCGTGTAGGAAAAGGGAGAAAAATTACCGAATGTGGACCTGGTAGAACAGCATACTGTACAGTCGAAAAAGGTCCTGGTTGATCGGCATCTACAGCACGTACTCCTTGGAGAACTCTTGTACCAACTACCGTGACCTACATTGGCACAATCTTCATCAGTAACCGAATACATTGACAAGAATAGCTTAGTCTATGTGAAGTTCGCTAAACGGTTCATTCTCACCTCTGAAATATTCAGTACATAGGGAGCGTTCACGAACTGAGGTGCATTATCATTTGCGTCTGTCACGCGAATATTGACTGGTATCACGAAACCCTTGAAGTAAATTTAAGGAATTGGTATGTTAAGTAAATTGAAGATCATGAGCGAACAATGTAATGCATTCTTTATATGATGTGTTAAACTTACGGGATCTAATGTATGTTTCCTTTCGCAGATTACGTTCACATAAACGCTGGCAGGTCCATCAACGCCTTCTTTATCAAGAGGTCTGACTAAAGTCAAGTTTTTTGAAAATGCTGAAAACGCTACAGGGCTGTCGTGTTCCTGCAGCCTGAGCTCGATATCTCCTTGCGGTCCAGGATCACCCAGTACTCCCAGGACACCCACAGTGTCACCGACCGGCAAATCTTCGTTGACGAAGAGATGCGCGGCAGTGGCACCGTTCTCCAGGAAGCATCGTACGTCACGAATCACTATATTTAAATAATACAATTTTAATGAAACTAATCATAATTAACCATTTGTAGAATGAACTACAAATATTTAACAATATTAATTAGGTAGAATGAAGGAATACAAAATGGACGATATTTTAAAAACCGAAAGGACATGCCGTTTGATTGTTCAAGTTTAAGGATACGTTACACAATGTTCGAAGGTTCTGTTTCTTTAGCTTCCTGGAATAACGACTGATCGTGTTCCATTGATACCGAAATGGGTATTATGTTCACGACAATCGTGCGGTTTTTGGTTTTCCGGTGTTTATCATGAACCGGTTGGCCGTCTCATCTTCCTGTCTGCATATTCCTTCGCTCATTAACTATGGCTATTTTCGAATATTTTTATAGACATATTTATAAACTGTGCTAACTATACGATTTACAGAAAATTAATTTTTAGAACTAGCACTTTAATTAATTTGCGTTTAATGTAGTATAAACTAAAGATAACTATGTACTGATTAAGACTTGACGATAGTCTTACTCAGATTTTAATGTTAGCGGCTAAGTTGTTTCGAACGAAACTAGTCACGTGACTATCACGCGCGAGGCAGTGTAAGCTGTCATTGTCAGCTGTATTTATTTACGGAAAAACTTGATAAAAGCAATGTTCTCTGAGCAATTAGTCGACATTCTATGTGATCTTTAATTTAGTAGACGATAAGAAGTAATTTAAACGCTGTGTGATCATGAATTAAGAGTAATCGTGACAAGCGTTCATAACAGGATGGCAGGCGGTGTTAAGCGATCGTTGACTCTACTTTACTGTGCACTGAAGCCTCTGTTATCCGTTATTTTGCGCAATTTAACTGTACTATGTGTGATCTTTCTTGTATAACAAAGTAATTTTGCAATGCTTTTTTACTTAGCTATGTATATAGTTTTATAACAGTAGAAAGAGAACGATGTAATAGGGTTCTTATTTCTCTTTGCCAAGATTTTCAAAATATTGCGTGCAATGTCGATTTGCGAGAAACTACGCATGCGCGATTAGATAAGATCATAGGGGACCTTACGCAGCGTTTTCTTTCTATTTTTGTATCATGTATACATCATCAAATGCTTCATATATTTCATTATTACATGTATTCCTATGATTTTAGTACATATACGGATGTGTGTGGGTATCAAACGTGCATACGCAGACGTCATTTAACAGGAACGCGTGCACGAGGGTTAGACGTGTGCGCTCCCTTGGAGCGCAGTTCCGTCTGCTGCCAACTCACGGTATATCGACGATGCAACGTTCCGGCTGTGCCTTTCGTAACCTTTTTCCCCCCTTACTTCGAAGACTTTTCCAGAAGAAAATTACACTATAAATTCCCTTCGAGAATTTATGCGCCTATCTGATTCGAATAATGTCCATCTTGCAAAATTAATAATGACTGGTCAAAGATAATAACTGAGGCTGAAAGTATTAGAATTTTTTATCGACTTTGTATCTATTATAAACGATGCTAGTTAGTATCAACAATTTCTACTTCATAGATTAGGAATGAATCTTATTGTAATAATGTTGTTATGCTTCAATGACTAGGGTGATAAAGTGGAACGAGTTATTTGTCTCAACAATTTATTAGCGATCTCCTTCGCTCAATTGAACAGTGGACAAAACAAAGATCAACGACGCTGATTCACACGATCAAGGAAAAAGTAAATGCTCGTTTATCTTAACAACAGAGGCGCTTCCTGCATGTCGAGATAACGACTAATTGTCATGCAAATTAGAAATGCTGATTTAGTAGTAAAACAAATCATCCTTTATAAGAATACTAAAGAGATCGCAGATTCGCGTGGGAGTCACGTGATTAACAGTTATACACGCAATTCCATGACGATGTAAGGATTTGTTATGTACACAAGTATACCATGATTCTATAATTTAAATTAATTATCTCTGTTTCTGTTTTAGATAATCTTTAGAATGCCGCATCAAAGAATTATGTAATCATTAATCGCGCTTCACTTCATTTTACGACTAATTTTGTAAATCTTAATGGCATTGGCGTAACTAGCAATTTTACCTAGAGTGAGTCTATATCTATAATCTTTTTTTAATTGTCCATATACTTTACAACATTCTCTAATCGCTAATTCCAGTCTACTCGAGAAATGACATTAATTACGTTGAAGTCACAAAACGAAACTTGGAAAGTATTATTGCACCTGTTCTCGAGTCTATTTATTACGGCCCAATTATCAAGCACGTAAATTGGACAGCAGTTTTCACAAATGTCCAGTGACAGGGAAGGGAGGTCATCAGAGCGGGCCATTGCGATTTTCGCAATGAGGCAACTTTCTAAGATACCCGATCGTTATCTGCAACTGGAAGTGTCGCTAGAGTCATCGAAGGGAAACGGAACATAGCCGACGAGATATCCATTTCGTACACGGATTACGATCTACCTGGTGTCTTCGCGACCACAATTCTTCCGCGCAACCGTTCACACGCGATCAACCGTGTGATGAAGCGGAAGAAGGGGCGATTAAGGTCGCGAGCACAGTTGAAAGAAGGGGCAGCAGGACGAATTGTGGAACAGAAGGGACGAAAGGTGGGCATAGGAGAGGAGAAGCGGGCAGCAGGTGCGTGAGAAAGCTTTTGAATACCCACATTGTCCAGTGTACAAATGCACCGTGCAACAGAGGATGGACAGGATCTTCAGAATGTTCTGTCTCATGGCGATCCAAGGACATCCTTCACCGGTTCGAGCACCGGCCGATGCATCTGCAAATTGATGATGAACTTGAGGTTGAAATAATAGTAAACAATTAGCTATTATTGTAGGTTCTGATTCAACTTAGATTTCTCTTAGCTAAGGACAGAGACTCTTATGTACATTTATTTTTGAAAAAAGTTTGGCTTTGATATTTTGATATTGTCTCTGCTAGTCTCTCTGTAACAATGTAGTTATAAATATCTCAATGCTTTAAGTTTTCAACATGTTCAGGTTTGATCGCTGGTTCAATAGATTCACACATATTGCAAGTTTTGCAACAGTCAAGCAAGGAAATGAGCTTTCTAAATTCTTTGACGTTCGTGCGATAAACTCAAGTTTCTAAAATCTTTCATAATTTAAAAACTGTTTCAAGTCATTCATTTGGATGATTTATATCGTAGACGATTACAGTCTTTATAGACTATTATAGTCAATCGTAGGGTTTTCCGAGAGTGGCATGAAAACTTAAGGCCTTCGACAAGCAGCGAGCGTAAACATTTGTTCGATCGATATTTGATTAGCGAGTTCTTCGACGAAAAACGAGCGTGTATGTCAGTAATGAGTGAACATAACGCGTGGTTAGAAAGCATGCGAAGAAACTACTTTATTACGTGAAACTTAGGTACCTGGAACGACATCAGGGCTATAAGTGGGGGTGGCGAGAGCGATAGTTTGCCGATCTTACATGTTTGAAACCGAAGAAGGGCAATACGAATTGAAGTACAAAAGGAAAAGTAGGCTGACAGTGCACAAAAAGTGTCTGCTTGAGAATCGTGATTTCTTCAGACAATGCAAAGAAAAATGTTTTTTAATTTACTTTACTTTTTTAAGGTATAATATATTAAGGTGGTATAAATGACTGATTTCGAAATATATAACTTATAGCATAATTTCATAAAAGTATCATAAAATGACACTTATGTAATTGTTATTGAACCTTAAGCTTTACGTATTTTTTGCAGGGTTTGTCTTTGGTACTAAGAAATACTAATCAGTGCTAAGGTAGTATGGGGCGGTAAAAGCCGCGAAAGTAAGCGGAAATAATTCGCGAATCTGGCGGGAAAAAGATTCCAAGCAGGTCCAAATGATTTATACGAGATGCACGAGCCGGATACGACGACTATGTGGGCCACGATACTCCTCAAATTCACAGACCGTAAACTGAAACGCACTGCCATGGGCAACCGGCGTAAAAGTCTCCCTCCTGGCCACGATTCGCGACGCCATCAATTCAGTGGTGGTTATACAGAAGAAACGGGCCTGATGAATCATTTCGTCCCTCCGCGCTTCGATTCAACGTGTGCTTTCACGAAAGTGAAGAAAGTACGGACACGGAAACAACTCTTATTGCCTTTGATGGGATCCATTAAATAGAAAATGTTAATGCTTTTTCGGATGTAGTCTGATTGCATAGATTCTTTATGGGAATTATTTTAAATATCATTCTGTCTATTTAATTATATACTAAAGAATTGTATTTTCCAAAGTTTCATCGTTCGATGCAACACTCCTATAAGAAACGTGTTCTTCAACGAATCTAAACTGTACAGTTCAACGAACTTTAAAAACTACTCTATGAAATATCAGTTGTATATCTCGCACGCTTCAGTCATCTCTGCACATTGTTCCAGAGTCCATACTCACCACAAGAATCGTACTAGATGATCAGAATCGCTAGCAGAACTGTTTCACTCTTCAGCACTCAAGCTCCCAGTTGGTTGTTGCCTCTTGAACGAAGGAATTTCTCATCAATCCATCATCACTACTCACCAATTATCTATAAACCGGATCGCACTTCAACTATAATAATTCTTATCACTGTTGGTTATCAACTCTTCAAAACATTTCATTACGGAACATCTTCAGCAACACCAAACGCTGTCGAGTTCCTCGAACCTTATTCACCCCCGACGTTTAATGGAACTACCGTTTGAAATTGTACCAAAGAGAACACTTTTTCGACGATCGGCTTTGTTGTCTGTACCTTGAAAAGGTATCGTTACGAAGAGATTAATGAAGAGACCCGTAGAATATACCTGTCGAACAGCAGAACTCGCTACTATGAAACTCGAGCGAGTAAAGAGCTCGGTAGACCGGCACTCGGGAAGTCGAGTTCTCCATTGTTAGGAAGGGGGAACAGACGACCAACCGAGAGCCTTCCTGGCCCTGCTTCGAACAGGTGTTTACTTTCGTTGGCAGGAAATTCGACGGGTACGTGTGTGTCCGCACATGCAACTGCACTCATGCCTTACCCTTTTTCTTCCGATATGGTCTAAGACGAAATCCTCTGGTCGAGAACGACCGAAATAGTCTATTGTTCTCTAATTGGTGATTGTTCGTGTGGAGGAGATTCAAGACCGTTCGTTTGTGAAAATGTAAGTTTTGATGGTTCAGAGAACTGCAAATGAGTCTTGGTAAATGAACGTTGCTAGAGTTTTGGAACTTTTGGTATTTAGATTACTCAGGTTTGTGATCGGTAAACTAGTTCTACTTTTCTATTTATTAGAACTGATTGTTATTAAAGTGGAGTACATGAATGTTACTAAAATTGTTGCATTCTTTTTACTGCACGCTTTAACGGTTTATTCACTGAACAGGATTTCTCGTTTTAATTTCAGGTAGTGTCGGAAACTCGTTAAGGTGCGATTAATTATCTACACGTTTGAAAACTTGTTTCACGCGATCGCGTGTTCAAGAATGTTTGTCGAAAACATAAAACACTCGCATCACTTTTTATCGAATTTTTCAAGAAGAGAGTAACTTTCACGTAAGCTTCTATTACAATATTTAATCTTTACACAAATGTTTACAAAGACACGATGCTACAGAGTTTAAACAAGTACAATACAAAGTTACTTCAGTATCTGTGTTACTTTAAAGTTACTTTAACGTGTAATTTTGTAGGGACACAGAAGACAAAGGTGCAATCACATCAAGGGAGTTCCGTTCCATTGTATACAAGCATCTTGCCACCTGTAAAATAATTGCGAAGAGATATTTATTTTTAATTACTTGTAAGTATAAGGTTTACCCGTGATTATTGATCATTTGGTTAAATATTATTATTCTGAAATTATATAAATGACTACTTACTTAGAACGAATGAGCTTCTCCAATGGAGTCGCAGCCATATCTGCGCATTCTTTGCTAGGACCCTCAAATTCTAAGTCATTCCCTGAATTTGATCTGGTATCCACAGTTAGGGTGGCGTGGCTACCTCCGCAGGTGAAATATTGGACCTCAAATCTTGAACAAAAGTTTATGACATTACAAGTAGAAATATTTAAAATAAAGAAGAGAGATTACAATAAGGGTAATTATACCGTCGTTCAGCATGATAGTTCCTCAATAACTCCCGGTTCGTATTGAACAGTACACCATGATGACCATGACACAATGTGACCCAAATGGGTAGACTGGGGGTCTTGAGACGAGAACCAGGTTGTTTACTGATTTGCCCGTCACCCTCGTGAACGAGGAATCCTATTTCGCTTCTCACGAGAACTCCCCATTGAGGCACAGCCTTGAAACAAAAAAAAGCGATTGACTAGGTTGCGAAGTAGTAAACAAGAAAATTACTCACGTATGTGTCTTCATCCCCTACGTGCAATACTCCATTATGCAGATGAGGCGAAGCACGACCGGTTAAGGAGAGGATTACAATGGTGGTGGGACCTTCTTCGGGACAACCACTTAATATCGAGGCTTTTGGGTCTTCAAGATCAGCTCGAATTCTATCAAATATCAAATGATCATTTTTCGAACATATAAAGTTTGACAAGATCTGATGATATAAAAGTATTTATTATATTTACTTTGAAAGTCCTCTTGAAAGCAGAGCACTGTATAACAGTAACTGTGCTCCAGGGCCACCCTCATCTTGGAACTGAACCAATAAATTGATGTAGATACATTTAACATAGTAAGATGTATTAACTTACCAAATATAAATATCGTTTGATAAATATTTCAAGATCCTCCAGGGAATCAAGCTCGAATAAGTGCAGCTAAAAGCAAATTAATTGTCGTCTTTAATTAAATATTAATAATGGTATAATCACAACTTGTAAGTTTCAATTTGTACACGTACAGTCTCTGTCAGACCATCCTGAAAGTATTGCACAGTGTGTTGTACATAGGGTGTCTCCTGGGGCAAAGTAATTATGGCTCTGGCAGCGTTTGTGTTTCCAGTAACACCTTGATTTGGCGAACAACCAGTATTTTGTACAACAAACCCTCCGGCGCATCGCCAAATGATTTCTGCTATCGCTGATGTCAGAACATCGATTTGTCTGTCGTATGAGGGCTTTAGCAGGCTGTACGTTGACAGTGTCATTCGAAAATTATTTGCTTTAGAATGAAAACTAAGAGATTTGTAACTTCAAAAGTACCTCTCTGGATTGGTACGAGCATCTTGTTTGTTGCATTTGAACAGAAAATGCTTGAGCATAATAGCTTGGACAGCAGTGACGAGACCCCTGGTTGTATTTCTAGGTGCTCGTAGTCCAAAAGCTAGAGTTTGACCGTAAGGTCGTAAGGTCAATCCGGTTCTTGCCCATTCTGGTCGAGGTGGACTAGCGGAACTCCCGAAAACTAGAGTTCTTAAAGCCTGGAAATAGATATATCTACGATTATGACTCTTTTCTAAATTTTGTGACCTGCGTTTTAATGCATTTTTATCTTTCACAGGACGTGAAGAATCAGAAGAAATTACCATGCACGTCTCCTCATCAATCGGTTTACCACCGATGACCACCGTCTTGGCCAAAGTCCTGGTATTCCTCGGATATATAATCTTCTCTGAAACAGGGAAACAGGAATATCATCTATCCTCGATAATGTACTCTTCCTGTTCTCCACCTGGATAGAGTTGATCAGGCTCTCCCATAAGAGCTGCACACCTAGCGGCTCTAGCAGACAGCAGCATCACGAATCTCGTCCAAGAACGAAAAAATTATCTTCATACACGATAGAATCACAGGATCTTCAGGTATTTGAGTAAGTTTCGAAGCAAAAGTCTTGCACAGGAAGTGGAACGAAGCATGGACACGGGACACAAGGGAGTTCTAACGATTGTCACCCAATGCACACTGGCACCCCAGCGCACCAAGCTATCAAATATCAATTGGAATCCGTGTAGGATTTCAGGTCCCTTTATATACGCTTATCTAGCTTGATATCTCGAGAAATTCGTGAAACTTTAAGCCGCACGAAACGCGTCAATTCGGATGTCCAAAGACACTCAGGTGAACGACAGACATGCCCTAATAACGTCTGTCTATCTGTCTTCTCGTGGCACGTGTCTCGACCCACGCAATGCAATCGAACGATATTCATGAATGATCGCTGATACAGAGGTAGCTGCAAGTACTGTGTGGAGCTGGATGTAGTCAGTTGGATACCTTGGTTATTTGTAGGACTCTTCAATATAAATCTAAAAATAGAACTCGTGCATTCGTCAAAACGATCATTCATGTAAAAGTCAACTGGTGCAAATAACTTTTCTCCAGCTCTGCACTGTACCTGCAGTTTCTTCCAATCAAAAGTATAAGTGATAGGATATGATGTAGTCATACATTATAGCGTTTAACGTTGTCATCGAACAAATCTTCCGTATGTATAATACTAAAAATAGTAGTAATGTCAATAACAGGACTCCAAATTGAAAGATTAGCGATTATAAGTAATAGTAGTAGTAACAGTATTACACTTAAGTATACGGTAAATGTAACAAGAAGATTCCAAAGAATAAGAATCCGATTTTTATGCAATTGTTTGGCAATCAGTCGGTGCAGCAAACGTAAAATTTATTTCCGCAATTTTCTAAGTGGAGCGAGATAAAAAATTGAAAATGCCGTTTTCAGCACCGTAAAATGTCCGTCTTTTCATTTACTATTTTATTGTGTTTGCACACGCGTGTATCATTTACCGATGTATTATATGTGTATCCGTTTCGCGAAAACTGCCTCGCGTGACACGCAAACCTTGCTGAGATACGTACGTGTAAATCGGTTCTCGCTTAACACATTCTCCCTTGCATGGGTTTTTTTTTCTTTCGTCCGCGAACATAATAGATTTGGTGCCTGCCTGTGAACTCTATTCGAAACGAATAACTTTCAGAAATAAGAATTTTTGCGTCGCAAATTGTATTGTCTGCAATTTGTTTCTTGTATATGTATGTACTTTCAAATGACTCAGTACGTTTTAAATACTTATTAGATCATATTACGCATGTGTAATCAATGATCACTATTGTATTCAGTATGCTACTTTAGAAAATAGAGTGATTCATTTTTAGACTGCTATTTTTATATATTTTTATCAGTTTAGCTTGAACTCTAAACTCATGATAACGGTGAATAACGTAGCTATTCGTTTCGCGCACAGGAATCAGATAACGGTTAGGGTTCTTCATCTGTGTACGTCTCGAAAATACTTCAAAGTCGGTCGAATCGCGTGTTCGCGTGTAATCGAGTCTATCGAATTACAAATTTGTGTCGGAACAGGCATCTGCATTCGCCGATTACACCTGCCGATATAACTCGGTTTAATTTATCCCGATTCGGATCTCTTCTTCGCTTATCATCGATCTTATTCACCGAACCAATATTCCTAAATAATTTGTAAAACTCAAGTTATTCAGAGTTAAAAGTCTCAGTATGCACAAGATTAGATTACGAATTTAAGAATTGAGGCATTTAAAGATTAGGGAATTAAAGAATTTAAAGGTACGAAAATTTCCAAATCATAAATAAATTGCAGCTCAAAAGAGCTACGTGTTAATTAAGCAATTATATTTGAATCTAGAAATCGATACCTTTCTGTCGGAGGTAGACAGGCTTTTCGGCTCGCATTTCCGTGCAGTGTCTCTTGCCACGCACAGAAGTGATCGTCGAACACGAATTGTTACTCTCCTCCGCCTCTTCAAGTTCTTCCATGTCGACAGGTGTATCCTCAGCCATTACACTACTTCAAATTATACAATCTCAAATTTCTCCAATGTTAAAATCGTGAACCGATCCAAAATATTCAGAATGTCCATCTTACAATCGACAGTTAACAGAATCATACAAATTTCTCACTCATATTGTATATCTTCATTTTGATGAATTAACACGAAGAATTGCTACGTACGAGCTGTTCAACCCTTATATCACACGTAACACAAAAAGTTTAATCGACTAATGCTTTACTCGACTCTTCAATGAAAGTCAATAAATGTCACGTAAATAGAATGCTATAGAATATTATAGAATGTTAGAAATTATGAAACATTGTACATATTTCCATTTTGTCACGAGGGTCGAACTCGTAGAGCTGAGAAAGATATGTTTGCGAAGGCAAAGAAATTGTCTTTAGAGTTAGATCTGTAAGAAGTCAATCGATCAAAGTTCTCAAAGAATATTAACAAGTGAAAGAGGCAGTTAAGTGCTCGTTGGTGCATCGAGCTGACTAGACTGACAGGAGTTAATAATTCCAGCAGCTTTTGGCCGAGTCTAGTCGGTTCATCGCGCCGCGCACGAGCTACCATCCCACCAGGTTCTGGATAGGTATATGCATAACGAGCCATGAACTCGAGAAAGTAAAACGTACACCTTAGGAAACCCTAAAATTGTACATCTTGTTCGAAAGGCGTTCTGCGAGTTAAACTATCGAACTGTAATTAATTCTCTGACTACCGTGGTGGATGCTATGAATGCATAGAAGGAATCAATTTTGTAATGATAAATTTTGCGTGTCGCTAAAGTTATATTAGTAATTATTATTAACTAATGTATGGACACGGTCAATTGTTGTAATCAGCATTTTATAATTCAGAAACAGAGAGTCTGTTTCATGACATAAAAGTATTTGATACACATGATTATTTCTTCTAGAGGAAAGGTTAATAACCGTATTACATAATTTCTATGTACGAATATCTGTATAGTTCTGGAACAGATATTCATGTAGAACACGTATCTTATCTCCTATAATTACTAATTTCCTGAATAGTGCGCCTCCACGATCAAGATTACGTCGTATCGTTAAGTTCAAGTTCGCGCTAGTTCGAAATAGATCCTCTATATTCGGCCTTCGGATATACGATGTATAATTTCAAATGCAAGCACGTGTACTTCTATGCACAATTTAAATATATGTAACATTGTATATAGACTTTAGGAATAGACAGTAAATAGATAATTGTACAAAAGCGTCAAAGTTTCTGTTATTTCGGGTGTTGAAATTGTTCGGTAATAGCTTACTATTGACCTTATAAGATGCACGATATTTGCATGCGTGCATTCTCGGAAACGTTTGCGTGTGTAGACTCGTATGGTATATAACGTCTGGTATATTGCCAAAGTGCAATATGAAATCTAACCGAGTGGCGTAGTACCAGGAGCGAAGTAACAGTAGATTACGTGCAACTACGAGTGTTTGATTACTTAATGATCGATTGGATTTACACGTTCCTGCGAAGATGTTAGAAAGTGTCTGATTTGACTGATCGATTAGTCTCTATAGATATAATAGAAGTATTATCCATACTTTGATTCTAATACAATATACATCCTTTCCTTTTAAATTCATTAATGTTACTATTATAGAAATTGTAATCCTTTTTCGGACTATCAAATTTAATTTCATAAATAAGCTATTGTTTACTTTATGTGATGGAAATTCGAAGAATAATTAAATTATTGAGCGATGATCTTATGCTTGACTTTCCAACTTGTTTGTCCGCGTTTTTCTTTTGCACCACTCAACCAATCCTCGTCAAATTTTGCATGCACATGCGTATGTACATCCAGATGGACATAGAAAAAAAAAAATTTAAATCGGACTTGCCACAAACAAATAATCACCGAAAAAACTGATCCTAAAAAGCGAGGGTCCAAACACGCATATAAGGAAAATAAAAAAATGAAAATTTCGGCACTTTGACGACGTAGTATGGTTCCTGAGGCATTTAGAAACAAATTTCTATTAGGGTTTGATGCGTTTTGATGCCTAATAAAGC